AATTTTCACTATTTAAATTTATAAATTGATGATTTGATTTAATAATATACGTTTAATTGATAAATTACAATTCTTATCAATCGAAAATTGAGAAGTATCTAAATGATAAATAAGTTTATCTTATTTTTATATGATTGTATTTTATTTTATAAAATGGAATCAAGTTTTTAAATTAAAAAAAGAAAAGAAATGGAGGATCTGACTAGCTAGGCCTAGAAAGTAAGAGCTAGGAGCTATATTTGAGGAGGAATTATATGACATGGACGTATTCCTTGAGTCATCACTAGTCCCTGTAACTTGTCCTAACCTTTTCCAAGAACTTATTATATACGTAATAATGAAATCAGAATAGATCTGGGCCCAAAGCCCAAAACTATCCAACAAGAGAAGAGTCAAATCGTACGTACAAAAAGGATTGAATGATATTGAGAGATATATAGCTTCTTTATTCGATTTCTGTCATTGTTCAAATAATTGAGCTCCTTCTCACTTTGCATTCCAATTGGAAAAGTTGTGCAAAGTATAGATTATTAGAAACATTATTGATCTAATTTTATGATAAATAAATTTAATGATATTTAGATAAGTTTTTTGAAAAATTTTATAAATAACAAAAAATAAAACAATAAATACATTGAAATATTTGTGCAACTCTCACAATTGTTCATCCTTCATCTCTTTCCTCTAACTTGTTGACATTGTTTACCATATGTTTTCAACTTTCACGAGTTGTTAATATTAATTAATATTTATTAAAATTTTTAATTTTTATTGATTTTATAAATAAAAAATATGTAAAATTTATTATTAATGTTCATCAACATTTATTTAAAATTTATTTTTTGTTAAGTCTATACATAAAAGATATAGGATATTTACTAATAGCATAATAAAAATTTGAATAAAGCATTCGTCAATAGCAAAAGCTTAAATAAAACATATAATATTTGTCAATAGCGTAACAAAAATTTAAATAAAGTAGGTATTATTATACTTACACATAGTGCTCGTCAATAAAAAATATGTAATTTTCTATGTCATATGTCATTTATTTAAAATAATTAATATAAAAAATTATTATTAGTGAGCTTTAAATTTTTAAATATTTTTTAAAAGATTATTAATTTATTAATTTTTCCTTTTTTTTTGCTAATAAAATTGTTTCCTTATTTTTATCAACACTTACACAAAAAATTGTCATTGATAATATTTAAACTAAATTTTGTAATATTTTCAAAATTACTATATTTTATTATATATAATTTTAAATTCTATATATATAAAAATAAAGTGAAAATGTACGTATTTAAAAGCATGTTAAAAATTATAAATATAAATTTAACTTATAAACTATAGTTAATAATATTAAATAAATGTAAGTGTATAATTTAGATAATTGTGGAGATGCAATTATCTATTGTTCAGTGTCACATGTGTTATCAGAATTTGATTGGATGAGAATGGCAGGCATCGACAGGGAGCTTCAGAGTGATATTGGATTATTAATTAGAGAATAATAATTTATGAATTGTTTGGTTCTAGCGTCCATAAAATTCATTCTCTGTATTGATTACACTTTTTGACAAAATGAAGCGTTCAAAATGGTCTCGAATCCTCGTTGACGAACTCGGAAAAGCTGGTGGAAGCTCTATTTCTTTTGTGGTGGCCTTGGCAGTGGAGAAGGAACACTATAACTTGATGATTTAAAATGGCAAAGGATAGCAATAATATAAACTTTAAGCAACAATTGACATATATGGAATCTCTTTTAAATTTATGATCTGTTATATTAATTATTAGTGCTAATCAGTGATGTGAGTGGAGGCTTGTCCCCATACCTAGTGAATTTTCATCAACGGGTAAATATTTTTCTCTCTTTAGTGCTTTCTCTGTTTTAATTCATCGCAGACGATGCTTTATGGTCGGGGCTAGGCGTGAAGCTGCCTCTGTATTGTGATTGAAGAATAATATAAATAGCTTTGATTTTTCATTTGATTCAATAAAACCGTATAACACTTGCATAGTATGTTAAGGATCTCCCACCAAAGTGATGAAACCTATATGTTTACCTTTTTTTAGATTCATGAGAACAGAAAAAATATAAAAATAGAGAGAAGAGAAAAAGGATAAAATATTAAACTTCTATTATTTGTTTTTGCAAAGATTAATAGATTGTTAATTTAAATGGTTCATGCTTATTTTTTTAAAAGTAAAGTCTCAAGTTTGATTTTGTGTATGAAAAAGCTAACTCCAGTTTCTTGTGTTTTTTTTTCTTTCAATTTGAACAATATTATCTCATGTGAAAAGTACTTGTAGTCTATTTATTTGTTTGAGAGACCCACGCAAAAAGTGGGTAGGGAGTCATTTTTTAAAATTAAATATTTTTTTATAAAAAATGCTAAAAAAAATATAAAAAATGTTTAAAGTTCTTTTTATTAAATTTACTTTTTTAATTAGTATAATGCTTTTTTACATTATTTATCTTTTTCTTTGTTTTAAAAAAACAAAGAGAATTTTACACTTTTTTTTAAGTATAGAAGAAAGGGATAAAAATTGAGAAAAGAGAATAAAAGCATGTTTGATTTTTTTTTTAATTTTAAAAACAGTTTTTAATTTTTAAAAATAAAATGTATAAATATATATTACATTTTATTTTAAAAACTAAAAATTATTTTTAAAATGGAAATCAAATATACTCTAAAAGTGTGATTTTATATGAGACAAGATTTTAACCTTACTCCTTCTATTCATCTCCCTCTAGCTTAGAAGTAAGTTATCATGGGGGTACCTATTCTCTGGTTATTACGCTACCGTTTTTGGGTCTGATTCATAAATCTTCAAACACAATAGGCCGAAAATGAGGCCCACAACTGTAATATTTCAGTGTCACTTTAAAGTAACGAACACCTTTAATGCACTTGGGCTCTTAAAACACTAACGTAGACTAATTAGTATAACATAGGCCTTCTTTGGGCTTGGTCAGTTTTCCCAAATAGCAGATGGCGCTAGGGTACATCAACTAATAGGTGATGTTCAAGATCAAAGAATGCTAGTTGACCAAAAAACATCGACAAAAAAAACTAATAGGTGGAGTTGGACCAAAAAAAAAGGAAAAAGAAAAAGGCAATGTACCAATCACAACACCAACAATTCTAGAATCATCACCTAGCTAGTTTCATTTTTCTTTTGGTCTTCAATCTAGGCTTTCCTGTTTTCTACGTTTTCCCTTCGTAGGCATTTACACTCTTAATATAGATATTATCAATGTTCTTAATATCAAACTCTGAATATAGTTACGAACAATTCATCTGTCAAGATATTTTTTTCTTCCCTCACTGGAGTTCTTTTCTTTTTCTATAACATTGTACATGAATAGTGTATCAAAATTAAGCTCTTAATATTAAATTATCAATATTCTAGATGCTATAGAAATATTTCTTTCAATTTTTCTTTGTTATTCATGGAAAGAAATTAATAGGTCGGTGGTAACTAGGTATTCCTGTACATAACGTGATTTCAACAGTTTATCCTAGTTGAGTGAGTTTTTTCAAACTTTTGTTACCTTTCTAGGCCTCAACTACAAAATTCTAACTTGCTTAATCGTTGTGATTTATATATAATGCAGAAATGAAAAATTACAAATTATCAAATTGATGTAAATAAAAAACTTTTAGCAATCAAATGTCTTTGATGTTTTGTCCATCTTCTAAACTTGTGTATAGCTACGAACTCCCTATAAAAGAGAAATGGGTTTTGAAATTAGAAAATTAGAAAATAAAAGTCAATTATACGTTGGTCACAAATGCATGCATTAGTATGAGTTACATGAATGAAGTCAAGAACAAAAGTAATTACATTATCCTGGTACTAAGGTAATACAAACACAAATATTTTTGGTAAATCAAACCAATGCACATGATAATTGGCTTTGATTAGATAAAAATAGTATTTAAATTATATATACGTAATTTTATATGTTAAAATATAAAATTTGAAATGAAATTATTACTCTCCTAATTAATATTTTGATTAAAAAGATAGGAAATAAAGAAGTGTAAATTTTATTTATCGCATGAGTATTATTAAATTAACATGAGACTTAGATAAAAAAAAAACGAAGACATATTTTGTGTTAATTTTAAAAATTTAAAAATAATAAAATATTTTTGTTTTTAGTGACTATTCTATTATATTAAATAAATTCAAAATAAAAGAGATCAAATTTTTATAATTAAGAAAAATTAGAAAAAATTAAAATTAAGTTCCTTTTCCATCTTTATCAATATGCTATGTCAAAATGTTTAAAAATTAGTTTAAATTCAAATTAATATTGATTAGGAATGTAATAATATTAAAGTTGAGTTTATTTAAAAAAAAGATATGTTAATTTTGATAGTATATGAAGATTTAAAATTTAAATTAAATTAAATTTAGAATAAAAATAAATAAATAATATTTAAAAGAAATAAAAGGTAATAAAAAATTCAATACTGTATGCAGTAGAACGATACAATGAAAATAATTAATGGATTGTTGAAAGTTTGTGTTTCCAAAAAATTCTGGACCATTTTGTAGAATGCACTAATAAACGGATTATTGGGCCTGCTTTATCTACATGGTGTGTATTCACCGACCCGCTAACGTTGGGAAGCGTGCACACGTGGCTTGTGCTTTGGGCAAAGAACCTCTGATAAACAAAATAATATCAAAATTACACCTAAATTAGATGATCAGTGAAGTGGACGGCGCTAATTAAGCGTGTCAAGTTTCTTTAAGAATCCGATTCTATGCTGTTTCCTCTCTTCTCTCTCTCACGTGCTCATGCTCCCTCCCTTCTATTACAAATTCACGCCCCAACATTAGAAGTAACTGTCTGTTCCTTCCATTTAACAACTTCGTTTGCTTTCGTAACTCTCGAACGTTTTCCCACTTTCCTTCGTTAAGGTTTTCTTTTGTCTTCTATCCCCGTTGAGATCAAGAGACATTTTATCTACATAGAAATGAGCAAGTTCTGGACCTTGATCACCCAACTTCATTCCCTTGCTGGGTATGCATTATTCTCTCTACATTGTATCTTCTTTCCCTTCATTTATCAATATATTGAATTACCCTTTTTCTGGGGTGAAGGTATTATCTTGAATTACTAATTCCTATACATTTCATTTTTGCAGGCCGGTGGTAACGTTATTGTATCCTTTGTGAGTGACGGATTTACTACACACACATTCTACCAACATATAATTTATGAACATTGATTAATTTCTACTTATTATTATTACAGGTGCAGTTATTTAAGAACTTAAATTAATTAATTTATCCTTTATATTATTAAAGGTATGCATCGGTGGTAGCGATGGAGAGCAAATCCAAATTAGATGACGAACAATGGCTTGCCTATTGGATCATTTATTCGTTTCTCACACTCATGGAAATGGTTCTTCAGCCTCTCTTGGAGTGGTGTGTTTGACATTGATTAATCAAACCAATGTACGATTAAATTTTGTCTTTGAAATAGAATTGTAGATCATGAAATGCGTGGAACTCCGTTTCATTTGCAGGATTCCAATTTGGTACGATGTGAAGTTATTGTTTGTGGCTTGGCTGGTTTTGCCGCAGTTCAAAGGTGCTGCTTTCTTGTATGAAAGGTTCGTAAGACAACACATTAGGACGCACATAACGGAGAGAGCGCAACACAATAAGTCTAGCGCTGGCAAGGCCAAGGTTAAGTTTGTTGACTTCATCACCTCCAAGACAGTGAGTTAACCAATCTATTCATTTCGTTTATTTTAATCAACAGTTTTTAAATATTTATTTTAAAACACACAATAAAAAGTTAATAAATAATAAAACTTTTGTTAGAACTGCAGCATTTAATGTTATTGTTGAATTTTGAATGTATTAAATCCTCTAGTTTTTATAAAAACATTTTTTGTATTATGTGTGCTTAGAGACATATCAAATTAAAATGAATTGCTTAAATGGGGTTTTAGAGTTTTCGAAATTTGATGATATTTGCGGTTGTGTTTTGATGGCGATCGAGGAAACAGGGGGATCATGATTCATGAAGCATATTGAATTATGAAGACAGTGTGTTGAGGTGAATGCTGAGCAGTGAGTGGCTTTTGACTGAAGACTCGCGTGTTGGTCTTTGGTTCTGGGATCAACTTTACTTTTTATTTGGTTAATTACGTATGGATTTGGTCACAATTTCAAATCTTAGCTTTGTTTTCTAATCGCATCATTATATGTAATGTGGTTTCTTCCGTTCACATTTGCTTTGTAATAAACGGTCATTTGAAAGATAAAAAGGGTATTGGATTACAAGGTATATTCAACGAGGAATAGGGATCTCAAATAAATGAAACTCACACAGAAATTGGTGAATGCCGCTCCTTTTTTGACCAATATTCAATGTCCCCTTCAACTTAGCCTAAGATGCAAGTAAACTAACAATTGCAATCTCATCTCCATTTGTGGGTTCTAGTTTTTAGCTCTTATAATTTTGCTTTTAATTTTTTCGCTGAATTTTTACTTTAAAAAATTATTTAAATATAAAAAAACTTTGTGCATTGTATAGAAAAAATCTATTAGCTTTTTATCGTTGTTTCGCAGCACCACCAATTGGGAGCATTATATCACGGTGAATTATAACATAAAATTACTTTGAGGGGGGATAAAATAATCTAATGATTTTTAAATATTTTTTAACCGTTTAAAATGACCCTTTCCCTACTTATGCTTTTTTCCCCCTATTTATGTGAGGACACCTTCTATTAATGTTATTATTTTCGTTGTTTTATCAATGTCAAAATTACTTAGCACTTTTTGTAATCATTGTAGTATCACTCTTTTTAGGATAATTTTGTCTTATATATAAAATTTATAATATTATCTGTTAGACTTTTTTTGGTATATACCAAATAGGACAATAGCTTAGCATGATATTGTTATTTTTATTATTATTTTATTTTCTTTATCGCATGTATTCTTATCTTATTCTAATTATCAAATAAACTCCAAAACATATTTAACGAAGTTAAGATTTATATTTGAATTTTTTTGTTTTATTTAATTACCTTGGAAGTCTACTTGACTAAAAACAATGTGAACCCTATTTGCATTTGTATACAAGGTTTTTTTAAAAGCTTTGTATTAAATTTTAGTGAAAAATAAAGGATTATATCAGCATATGTTATATTACTCTATTAGTGGAAAATACTTTAGCTACCTCTTTTGAAATCGGGGTCGATCTTTCCCATCTCAAAGATGGACTGTGATTAAAATATTTATATTTCAGTTCAAATAAATAAATGTGTGATTTTTAATTTATATTTATTTAAAACATGAAAATTAAGAAATCATAAAACATATAATGGTTTTAAAATTATACAATCACAAATAAAATATTTTTAACTTGACATTGATTTGTTTTCATTAAATTAGAGATACCTTAGAACGTGTCTTAATTCAACAAGTCAAAACTGTTTTTTTTTTTTTTTTGCATGATTTAGTTTTATTTTCTAAATTTAATTTTTATTTATAAAAAAGAAAAAACTCTATCTATAATCCCATAATCATTCTCAAGCCTAAATAAAGGAGAATTATTATATTAATCCCTCCACAACTAACACACAACTTATTGAAACGTATACATGAATTAATCATAGTGATAACATTGTTGTTGTAGTTTTTAGTTAAAAAAAAATTAGTGTATTTTTTAGGTTATTTAGTTTGACACATTTTTTTTAATCAAAATTTTACACTATTAATTTAGGGTATCCATCTTAAAATAAATACATAGAGCGGTGAGGTAAAGTTAAATTCTTATATTTTCTATGCATAATTATACTCTTAAATTCAATGCTGCATCTAAAACCATCTTTTAATTTAAATAAAGTTGACGTGATTTTATTATTTTTTAAATTATCAACTTGTTTTGATTCTAGTTGTGACACCATGAAATATTCATATGGTTAAACCTATCTTTTTCTTTTAAGAATCATACCATTTTTTAAAAAACTTATTTTATAAAATTCTCCCATAAAAGTGTTTACTCAAAGCATTTATTTATATATTATCCTTTTTTTTTTTTCTGCTCCAACATACCTTAATAGTGATTCCCCTCCCCACTCTTAGGGTGTATGCATGTTTTTCCTTTATTGAAGGGGTCCCAGTAATGCCGGCCAACCAAAATGCCTTTTGGCAAATTTTTGCAGATCACTATAAAAAAATAATTTTAACATCTTTAAAGTAAAAAAATTAGAAAAAATATTAATTATTAATGTAAAATTAATTATAGCTATAAAATATTTAAAGTAAAATTAATAATAAATAATTTTTTTTTTATTTTTTTCATATCTCTTTACTTAGACGAACAAAATTAAAAAAATGCCCCCACATGTCCGAAGAGCTCTTAGCGTTTTGCAATGACTAATAAAGCTAATAAGATGACTAAGCTATCAAACAAATACTCTAACACTTGCCGATAATCAATTGTTTTTTTTCCACTTTCTGCTTTCATTGATTGATTGGCACATTATTGTATTTATCATTCTGTGTTTCGTACTGCCTTTGCCATGCATGCACAGACTCGTAGGTGAAAGTCGGCACGTTTTATTCAATAATTTTATATGAAATAAGTGTTTAAAGTTATACTAATATTTTTTTTTATCATAAGTTATGCTAATATGATTCTCAATAAAATAAATTTAAAAACTATTCCGATGAATTTCCTTTAAAAATCTCGTTGAAATAGTTAGAATTTTATTTTTTAATATATTATTCCACTTTAAAAGAACCAAATCTATTAAGAAAGCTAAAATTTTATAAGGAGATAAATCACTTTCATAAAAGCGAGCATAATATCTACAATCAAATGCCTTTCAGAATGGAACAAATAGGAGATTACTTTATCAAAATTGACACTTAACGGTAAGCACTAAGCATAGAGAAAAACGACGCCATTAATACAATTTAACTGAATTATGAAAATTTAAAAATCTTTAATCTGGGCGTGTATCTGTAGTTTGCTGGGACGTCGGAGTCAGTTTTTTATTTACTAAAATAAAGAAGTATAAACTTATAAATAAAAGAATTAACTGATATGTGTATCATATATGTAACAAAATTTACATATAATTAATATATTTTTATGATATATTAATTTTTGAGTCTTAACTCATCAAGAGTGTGAGATGGTAAATGATTTTACTTCGCCCCATCATGACATTCTGCTGCTTATACAATACTGTATAATGCCATTCACACAATTAATATAGAAAATTAATTATAACATACGGGTCAAGAAACACGTAAGCAAAATAAAAAAAAATTAAAAAAAAATTAAAATTAAAAATAAGAAAATGTCATGCATCCCTTTAGCAAAAGAGATTTAAAAAAATATATATTATAAAAAATAAATAAATATTTTATTAAAATAAATAAGATTATTTTTTATTAAAATTTATATTGTATTTTTAAATATTAATTGTATTAAAGAATTAAATTGATGGTATATATATATATATATATATATATATATATATTAAATAGTTATATATAAATGTTACGTGAATATAAATCTCGTAATAAATAAAAATATTAAAAAATAATAGTTAAAAAATTTAAGAATAATCGATATTTTTTATAATTATAAAAAAATACTAATTATTATTACCTATAAATGAATCAAAGTAGAATATAAATTTGGCTCAATATTTAAAGCACCTGTCAAGAGTTTATCTTCATGGAAATAAACAAGCAATCATTATCATTGTCATTTTTATCAAATTTGTGTAAACATAAAGAAACTTGCATAGTGCATAGTGCATAGTGGTGTTCACTTGTTAAATGTCAGTAAATCTTAAGTTACGATTGAGACGTGTAATTAAACTGTGAGTTAGCCACTGCCATCGGGTTCTTACTTCTTACCAGCTCATGGTTCACAAAATAATATGTTTCGGAATTCTGTCATTGCCTTGAACAGTGAAACCCTCTTTTTTTGGCTATGTCCTTCGTGCCACTCATTTAAGAGGCTTCAGCTAGAAGAAATGTTAAAGGAAAAGCTAAAGAGCTTCTTTAACAAAAATCTATCCCACTTCTCTACCAGTATAAGACCAAAGAAAGAGAGGGAAAAAAAGAGATACCGAGGCTTTCTTGAGGAGATTCTGTAGCCAATATCGAGAGCAGTCAAAATGTTATTCTTTTCTTAATGGGAATGTTGGGGTGCAACAACTTACAAATGGTAGCTTTAATTAATCAATTAATAAATTATATTTAATTTGGCACCCAAAATCCCAAAGTTTCAAATTGTTGTGGAATCACAATCAGGGAAGCAATGAACATTATTTGATTAATTATTTTTTGTTGTGCAACCAATATTTTTAAGTTATCACAAAGGAACTCGTTTAACTTCCAGGTTAGCGCAAATTAATTATACAAAAGTCTTCCAATGAGATGAAAATAAGAACTGCCCTCATACAATTAGGTGAAAAAAAATTGAAAATGATTAAGATTTGAAATGAAAAAGGGCCAATAAACGCCACGCCACCATGTCCCATAACTTTTTAAAAAGCTGTTAATTAAATTCCTTATCAAATAATGAAAAAGTAGCATGTGAACAATATTACCAATCAACCCTTTTCCTCAATCTATATAACTTGCCGTTTCTTATGCTCTTAGCTCAGTGAAATAATTTCTTCCCAATACTCTCCAAACCCACCTTAAAAAGACAAGTCGAGCATAATGGATCCTACACAAATCAAGAAGATTCAAGCCATGAAGAGGTATAAGAGGCGTCAATTCCTAGATAATTTGTATTTCTATTTCTTCTCTACCTTAACTTGCAGTTTTATCTTTTTTTTCACACTGTGCCTACCCTATCTTTCTTCTCATGTTCGGGTCTTTTTCTTGGTGCACATCTCAAGTTTAATACCAATCTTGTTGAGCTCAAAGCTAATATTCATCATAGGCAACCTCATAATTTTTTTCCTTTTGGTAAACTCTAGAATCCTTTCCTCAGATTCATCTTCAACTTCTGTGGTTTACTATGATGAGTACATTCATAGCAGTCAAACTAGAATGCCTCATATTCCAGCTACTGAAGTCAACAAAGCTAAAACATTGGAGAAACTACATTTTGTGGAGAATATGGACAAGACTTTGGAGGATGGACCCAACAGTGTGGACTTAAAAGGTAATGGGTGGGTTAAGAAAGCTACAGAAGCATGGCTAGGCAAAGAGGTGGAGAATCTAGAAGGAGGAGATGAACAAAGTTTTCTTTCTTCTTCTGATGAATTGAACAAAAGGGCTGAGGATTTCATTGCAAGGGTCAATAGGCAGAGAAAGCTTGAACTTATCCTTCTCAAGCATGATAATTACTAATTCTTAGTTAATCATGTTCGAGATAGGAACCTTACATTAACTTTTTACTAGAAAATTTTTCTAACCATAAGGTTGGAATCTGAAACTCGAAATTAAACATGTACCCTTAATCAATTACCTTAATAATTGCAGGTCTTTAGTATAGGAAACTTTTTATTCTTGATTAAACTATCTTTTTAAAATGATTTTTCTTTAAAATTTTATAAACTATAGTTAATTATTATTCAATTTCTTAACAATAATATATTCATAATTAATTATTTTGAAAGTAAATTTACAATTAATTATCATAAGGAAAGTTTTATTCTTATTTATAAAGGTAGAAAAGAAAATCACTTATCAACACATATGAATGCTCTTAAAGATAATTTTTTCAACTAAATATGAAAACTCTTACATAGTCTGCAACCAAGCGATACGGTAAAAAACGTTTTCAAAATATTATAAGAGTCGCTACTAAAGTTTATTTTAAGAAAATCTTAGAAAAAACTTTTTTAAAATAGTATAATCTTTGAAACAAAAAATGAGTTCGGAAATCATTTGCGTATGAGAAATGTGTTAGCACCCCACAACGTCCGTTTAAAAACGATTACCTTAAATTAATTATGCAAATTTATCTTAATTTTAAAAAATATTTATTTAACCCCTAAACAATAATTTTTTTTATTTTCACTTTAAAAGAAGAAAAATTATTTATTAAGATATTGTTTGGGTATTTTAACAAAGAGAAAATTTATTTTGATTTGACGGGTCCGTTTCTTGCTCTTACGTATCCCCGAGTGCAATAGAGAACTCAAAATCACATAATTCTATCTAAAAATTGTGAAATTAGTTGATTAAAATAAAGTTTAGTAAAGAAAATTTGTTTTGAGATTAAAATTATTTTCATAAAATTATAATGTTTAGAATACAAGATAATACGGTTATACATGTACCCTACGAGAAACAATACAATAAGTGAAGGAAGATCACACAACTATATTGCAAATCGTTAAAAAAAAATTTTGTTCGTAAATAAAGTATTTGAATTTGAATTTTGATTATGATTAATGTTGAAAGACATTTAAGATAACGTAAGCTATACATAAATCTCTTTTAATTTTGGACAATCAATGACAATGTAAATCGCACATCGATGTTGTGAAAATTTGTATAATAAAATGAAGAAGAGATTGGTTGTTTAATTTATTAAATTAGAAGTATGATTTAAGAAAATTAAAAATATGAAATTAATTCTATTTAATGAAATGAATAAAAAAAATAAAAACTTTGTTTGATAAATTTATGTTATATAGAACTTAAAGTAATATTGGTATGGATAGGTTCTAATAATTTATAATGCGTAAAGGTAGAGTTGCTACACATTAGCATTATAAATTATTGTGTTAATAAAATAATTTTTATTGATTGATTAATAAAATAGTTATTATAGGGAATACATTTTGATTGATTATTAGATAATCTTTTTAATTAATTAAAGATAACATATGTCAAATTAATATTGTCTAAAGCCTCGGTAATATAAATACACATAGACTTTATCAATTTATAACACACAACGATAAAGAAGTTACACGTTAATATTATAAATCGATACACTTATATATTATGCATTTATTTAATAAATCAAAAATATGATTTGTAAGCCATAAAATAAGAGAGTATAGAACATGAAATTAAATTACATCAACGTCTAAAACTTATCCAATGCAATAAAAGATGATCATATTAAAGAACAATATAAATAAATAATTAAAATAAATAAATAACATGCAAGATGTAGTGAGAATCTAATATGATTGTATAAATCAAGATTTGAACGGTCTCTAAATCTAATTTAACTATTTTGTTACCATTATTATTTTTTAAATTAATTAATAAATGAAATTAAAATAACCAAGATTATAACTCATGGAACCACAAAACATGCAATTTCAAATTCAAATAAAAAAAGGAGTAAAAAGTTGATTTGTAATTAAGGCTATTAGCTTTTAACTTTTAGCTTTAGGCCCTTAGGCCTTACGTACTGTAGAGTAGTGCAGGGACTTGTCCAATCCATTCATATTACAGGGTTAATAAAAATATTAATATTTTATTTTTAAACAAAGTATTTGAATTTGAATATTAATTGCGATTAATGTTGAAAGAAAATTTAAGATAGCATAAGCTATACATAAATCTCTTATAATTTATTGGATGATTGAAGGGAATGTAAATTACATATCGATGTTACAAAAATTTGTATGGTAAAATGAAGAGATGATTGGTTACTTAATTGATTAAAATTAGAAAGATGATTGAAGAAATTTTAAAATATAAAATTAATTTCATTTTAATAAAAGAAATAAATTTATTTGAATTGATTAAAGAAGATTCTTTGTAATAAAAATATTAAAACTTTTATTTGATAGATTTATATTGCATAAGACCTAAGGTAACGCTGACACACAAAAGTCTTTACGATTTAAAATGTATAAAGGTAGAGACGCTACATAGTAATACCATAAATAATTGCAGTAATATAATAAAGGTGTTTTAACTTAATTAAATAAATAGATTATTTTTTTATAATAGAAAATAGGAAAATATTTTTAATTAGATGATATAATTTAATTAAATAAAAATGTAATTGATTGGTTTTATAAGTTAAATTAATTTTTATATAAATTGATGGTGTATAAAACTTAAGGTAAAATTGGTTCACATAGATTTTAACAATTTATAATACATTAAGGTAGAATTGCTACACATTAGCGTTATAAATTATTGTATTAATAAAATAAATTTTTATTTAAATTGATTGATTATTAAATTAACATTTAGTGGGAGTCACATCTTGATTAATTATTAAGATAATTATATAATTAATCAAATACAACATATAATAAATTTATATTGCATAAAGTCTAAGTAACATAAGTACACATAAACTTTATCAATTTATAACACATGATAATAAAGAAGTTATACGTTAGCATTATAAATTGATGCAATTATATATTATTTAATTATTTGATAAATTAAAAATATGATTTTTAAACCATGAAATAAGAAAATATAGAACATAAAATCAAATTACACCAGCGTCTAAAACTTATTCAATACAATAAAAGATAATAATAATAAAGAACAATATAAATAATAATAAAAATAAATAAATAACATAAAAGATATAGTGAAAATTTAATATGGTTGTATGAATTTAAGACTTGGTGTCTAAATCTAACTTAATTATTTTGTTACCATATTATTCTTTAAATTTATTAATAAATGAAATTAAAATAACCAACTTTAAAAAAATAAAAGGTAAGATTCCAGCAAAATAAATAAATAAAAATAAAAAATAAGATATTTTTATTTTATTAATTAAATCAGAATACGTTTAGAAAAAAATTGTTATTTAAAAAATAAAAATAAATGAATAAAAAAAAACGAATAAAAATAATATTAACAAAAAAGATTACAAGCTGAATGATTAGGAAGTATCTTAGAAGTTTCTACTTTCTCATTTTTCTTTATTTTATTTTGTTACATTTTTTTTTAAACCAAACAAATAAGTTATGCATGTTTTTGAGACTCAAATAAGATCGTGCTGTGTTCTTGTCCAATAACCACTCAAAAATTAAATAAATGAATAAAAATAAAAATTTTATTCAGACGCACACCAATTCATATTTTTATCACTATACTAAAGTCATTTATTTTTTTTTTATTTTTTTGGTTAGTAGCAATTATGAGACCCATTTATCTTACCTAACTCTGATGCCTCACATAACCACAACATGAAGTTTCAGATTCAATCAATAAAAAAAGTCGCTATTACTTTTAGTTTTTGTCTTTCGGCCTTATGTATTGCAGAGTTCTTTCACATCACACGCTCTCATAGTCAATAAAAATATATTAATATTTAAATAACATAAAAAATAAAAAAATAATTAAATAGAGAGTAATAAAAGCTAGGACATTTTTATTTATCATCATTCCTAACTTTGTTGCCTCCGTTAAGGTAACATTTTCTTTTATTATTCAAGAAACATTCAAGAGTAAGAGCAAAGAAATACTTTAAATGAGAATAAACTTGACCAGATATTATTGAGAGGTGACTACAATAACTCTTGCGACAATCAACAATGCTAATTTTTTGCTTCTTTTTTGTATTTTTTTTTATAAGATCTCTCAAAAGAAAGTTGTTATCTCTTCTAAAAATTTTATTTTTCTTTCTCCGGTCTTTCTCTTTAAAACGGAAAATTTATTATAATATTGTAAATTAAAAAACAATTTATTATTTTATAGTAAATCTGAAACAATTTCTCAATCTGAGATTTTTTTGCCACGTGAATCAAATTTTTGCCAAACGGCTAGCGAAAGTATTAATTTTTGAATTTTTTAATATCTATTTCGCCACAAAAGTACGAAATATGACTTCTTAGAACGGTTAAATTAAAACCGCTCTCTAAAATAGAGTTATGAGAGCGGTTCCTTTTGAACCGCTCTCTAAAATAGAATATTGAGAGCGGTTCCAAAGGAACCCCTCTCTAAAATAGACTTATGAGAGCGGTTTTAAATTAACCGCTCTAAGAAGTCATATTTCGTATTTTTTGTGGCGAAATAGATATTAAAAAATTCAAAAATTAATACTTTCGCCAGCCGTTTGGCGAAAATTTAATCCACGTGCCCCAGATTGAGAAATTGTTTCAGATTTGCTATAAAATAATCAATTGTTTTTTAATTTACAATATTATAATAAATTTGCCCTTTAAAACTATGACCCTCTTTCTAAAAAACTTTGTTGCTACCTCTTCTAAACTTTTTTTCCTACTTGAAAGCTTGTTACCTCCTCTTCGAAAAAAAATTTCCAGAGAAAAAGTTATCTTTTTCAGATTTTTTACTTGAGTTTTTATACCCCTTTCATCTCACGTAGGGTTTTTTTACAAAATGTCAACGTTCTAAGTTTTTCTTTCTTGTGTATGAAGTCAGTTTTGAAATTGTAGTGTAAGCCTGTATGGTGCAAGGCTTTCATTTCCGATCTTTCTCTTTTTTCAAAATTTTCTATTTTTCTGTAAAATAATTTTATCTTATTTTTATAAATTAAAAAAAATTTGGAGGCCATCTCAGATATGCAAAAATTGGTATTCACAGTGGGATTATTCACTTTTGAGACATAAGGTTTATTATAATGAGACCTTTGATTAGGTTTGTTGTCATACCTTTTCTTATTAGCTTGTATCATGTTTGCCCTCGATGTTAATGCCTTTGCCCTTGAAGCCTTGAGTTCTTTTCTATTTGTATCCTCAATAATAATGTGAGTGATAAGTTGAGCTACAGATAGCGGTTTATTCTTATGCTTTATTTGCTACTTATAATTTTTCCAAGATTCTGGTAATTTTTCAATTAGTAGTCCAATGACAAAATTCTCAAGCAGTGTGATTTTCTCATCTTTCATGTCTTCCAGCAGCTTATGGTATTCATTGATTTGAATCTTGATATCTTCTTCATCGTTCATCTCCTACTTATAATAGTGTCCGATAATGAACTTCTCTCTTATTAGCAGAAGTCCAGTCTTCTAACAATTTTGGGGTAGCATTTGAATATGGTTTCGGTTGTGCGAGAGCATGAGCTACGCCATGCAGGTCAAGAACAGAATAGATACGCTCCTGCCATCGTTTAAAGTTTTTCCTTAGAACATTTCTATTTTTGACACGTTTGGAAAAGATTTTGCATAGTTAACTACGGGAACAATTGGAGTAGGTAGATCCACGTTGATACCATTTTCATGGTTATTTGCAACGTTGTTGATAGAGTTTTCATTATTTATTGATTCAGCCATAACCTTAAGATTGTTGTCAATATGACCTGAAGTAGCTTATCAATAATTTAGTCTGAGGCGTGTACAACACTGTCCTTAAAGATTATTTCAGTACAGTAAAAAATCCTCCAAGATACAGCAGACTCTTTTTGTCTGAATGTACAAGATTCTCAAGAACTAGCAAGCTTGCTCAACTCATAATTCAAAGAAATAAATATAATAAAAGTCTGTGCATCTTTCGTGCAATTTTTTGAAAAAATTTAAAATACTTTAATCACTATAATTGCTCACATAAATGTTACATATAACTGAAGATATAAATAATAATAATTATTAAATTAGAGTAATAAAATAAAATAATTAATAATTTTTTTTAAAATATAATTATATTATTTTTAACAGGATATACACGTGAGTTGAGTGTTCCCACCAAGTGAAAAAGTGCCACAAAAGAAGGAAGTAAAATTAGGACACATAAATATTAAATTAAGAATGAAAAAAAAGTAAAATTTATATATTTTTAAATAAATTCTGGTTAATAATTAAAAATTGTGTTAAAAAAATATGTCAAACAATGTATTGCTAGCATTTTTAGAATTTTTTTTTTAAGAAGGACAATGTTTTAATTTATAAAAAAATATATAAGCTAATTATATTATCAATGTTATTATTAAACTGTCAAAAATAAATACTTTATATAATATTATATATTATCATTTTTATCTTTCACTTATACTGTATCTTTTCTACTAAAAAAATACATCAAGATATAAAAGAGAAGTCCAAAGATATCCCCACCCATCTATACAACAAAACATTCATCTGTAACGGGTATATATGGAACGATTGTAGAAATCATTGTATCATTTTTCACAAAAGGCCAAATGATTAATTGATCCTCCGGCCAAGGTGGTGACCGATTCAGAGAAACAATAAGATCATCATTGGCATTGAAACGCAAATAGAATCGTCCGCGAACAATAGTCACCGATATGGTTGTGTCTCTGAGATACGTGTCTTTTACTTAGCATGCAGAGTGACACCTTACCTATACTTTTTTTTTCTACTTGTAACACCTATCCCTTTCCCATGTTGCTTCCTTGTTTATAACTAAACCCCCCCAAATTGAAATGCAACCTTGTTGATCGCATAGTTTCAATTTGCATGAGTCATGGACCTTATTCATAAATTCCTGAACTTAGTTGCTCCTCCAACCACCTTCTTTTCCCTCTGCCTCCTCTTACCACCTTATTGGACTTTCAAGTTCTTCCTTTCCTTCATTAATTCAATCTTTTCTGAAAATGTTGCTGGTAAAGTTGTTCACATCACAGGTGCTTCCTCTGGTATTGGCGAGGTAATTCACCCATATATATATATATATATATATATATATATATAAACTTAGTCCGAATAGACTGCATTGCGGAAGAGTTTATGTATAGTTTATGAAAATAGTTAATGCCTTATTTCAACGGACTCCTTAAAATACTTTATAAAAATGCTTTATGTTTTATTTTAATAAACTTTATCATTAAATTTATGGTATAAGTTTTTATATAAACACAATTTATGATTAAATAAAAAATTAATTAAATTGTGTATCCTAATACTCCAAATTGATATGTGACATCTGGAATAACGATAATAATAGTAATATTTAATAAGAACCTAGCTTAAAGTTTTTCATGTGTCATTTGTCTCATTGATTGCTCTTATCCTACTCGAATCCGACCTGGGTCAGTAAAATTCAAATTATATAAAAAAATGTTGTAGCAAAAAAATTATCTGAGTCCTTTAGAAGTTATGTAGTAATTGCTCTTCAATCAATTGGATTAAAGTTTTAATTATTTATCTAACAGAGATTTTGAGCAGTTACATTATCCTTGTATTTTAATTTGTGCAGCATTTGGCGTACGAGTATGCTAGAAGAGGTGCTCGCTTAGCACTTTCTGCAAGGAGGGAGACTGCACTACGAGAAGTTGCTGATAAAGCGCGTGATTGTGGATCTCCTGATGTTATTATAATGCGTGCAGATGTTTCTAAGGTTGAAGATTGTAGCCGATTGGTCGATGAAACTGTGAATCATTTTGGAAGATGTATGTTATTTTAGAAATTAAATTCTTCGAATCAATTCATTACACATTGACCCACTGTAACGATAATTAATGTAATGCAGTGGACCATTTGGTAAATAATGCCGCAATCAGCGTTGCCACCTTGTTTGAAGATGCAGATGATATCACCAATTTGAGACCTATAATGGTAATTAATTGGTCGTATTTAATCTGCTTAATTATTTTTCCCGTGTAGCTAGTTGTGCATATTTTACTATGTATTTTTCTTTTCCCTCTTTCATAAGTAGTCTTCATGCTCTTTGCTGGTATGGTGCTGCATTGTTAATTTTGATATGATGCATAAAAATAAAGGAAAAATAGTTCAATAGTAAACTCATTTCTTCTACTTTATAAAATTAACAGTCCCAGTAGTTCAAATATACAGGAGAGGAACAAATTTTGAATGGAATAGAGGGAGGGCTCCCCTTGTTTAGAAGGGTAATATTACCTAGTTTGATTTGAAGAGAAGGGAAAATATGAATATTTTGTTATATAATATAAGTATGTAATTGAAGAGATGAGATGGAAACAAAGTTTTGAGACAATTTTGTATATACAGACATAATTTTAATTTGCATAATCTAAAAATTATTAACCGTTTTTTCTTCCCTCTAAATCCCCTATTATTATTGAAAGGGAGGCAAAAATAGGAGAGGAATTATAGTTTCCTTATCAAATAATCAGTTTATTTCCAACTCTCGAGTTTGGTCACTAGGACTAATTTGAGTCTTCAGCTACTTAGTTCCTGGTTGTCAAGTTAATTGCTTTTTGCAGGAAACAAACTTTTGGGGATCAGTTTACACAACCCGTTTTGCTTTACCGCACCTGAGAAAGAGCAGAGGTAAGATAGTGGCCATGTCATCAGCTGATTCTTGGATGCCAGCACCCAGAAGGAACGTGTACAATGTAAGTGACATAAAAGCCTTAGAGAGAATTCATAAGGTAGAATTAAATACATCTTTGGGTTCAATTGATGTTCAATTATTCATTTCACACCACACAGGCAAGCAAAGCAGCATTGGTGAGTATGTATGAAACATTGAGGGTAGAAGTTGGGTCCCAAGTTGGTATAACAATCGTGACACCCGGTTACGTAGAATCTGAAATGACCAAAGGGAAGTTCTTATTGAAAGAAGGCAAGATGGACGTGGACCAAGATTTAAGAGATGTAGGCAAATTAAACCTTCCATTTCATATATTATTCTTTTCCATGCCAATGTCATTACTTCGCTGGTTTTAATTTAAATAAGATTTTTTATCATGAAAATTGACGATGCAGGTGGAAGTGAGCGCAGTGGCAGTAGAGTCGGTGAGTGAGTGTGCCAAAGCCATAGTCAGTAGCACGTTGAGGGGAGATAGGTACCTAACGGTACCTGCGTGGTTCAGAATGACGTACGTGATAAAAATGTTGTGTCCAGAGATAGTGGAGTGGAGCTTCAGAATGTTGTATTTGACAGAATCAAGAACTACACCTGCAAGGGAAGCCCCCAGCAAAAAGATATTGGATGCCACTGGTGCCAAGAAGCTTCTTTATCCCTCTTCAATCCAATCTCCTGATGTCAAGATTGAGTGATTAACCAACATAAAACCTTGAAACAGCGATTGCGTATGTGTATCTTATTCCTGTTCTTGTTACATGTTTTTTCGTCAACGTTTCTTATGTTTATTTTCTTCTCAAAGTCCGTTCTCGTCTCTTACTCTTCTGTTTTGAGACTGTTACATGCTTTTATGTTCTGCTTTTATCCACACTCATGTCTTTTTCACAAAATTTTAGATTAAGGAGTGAGGTAGGAACTAGGAAGAGGAGTGGTGAGTGAGACAGATTTTAAAAAATATTGTAAAAAGGTGGTGTTACAAATGAAAAGTGTTATTCATTATCTTCTGGTGTGTCTACTCTACTTTCGTTTTGAAGGAATAATATTTTTTAAGGCATTTTTTATTATTAATTAAAATTTACTATAAAAATTAAAAGAAATATTTTTATAATTTCATATTTTTAATATTTAAAGCTAAATTTGTAGATTAGTCTATTACATTTTTTTAACTTTTTAATTTATTTTTCACATTTTTATTTAACTTCAAAAAGTATTTTGTTAAATTTATTGTTAATCTTCTTTCTCCCTCTCTCTCTCTCTCTCTCTCTCTCTCTCTTTCATTCCACATCTCCCATATTCACTAGCATTGAATTCACGCTCGTCGCTATCGTTTTTGCTGTAATTTTCGTTATTATTGCACTAAACTTATGTTCTGTTGTTCTTTAATTACATTGGCAAAATTGGCTTCAATTTATGCCTTTGACATTGGCATCTCTGTCGTTATCTCTTTTCTCTCTTAAGAGGGGTCTGTAAGGATACATAAAGATAAAATACAACGAAAGAATCATAAATTTTCAAGTTTTGATGAAAATAATTAAATAAAGAAGAGAGATAAATAAAGATAGTATATAATAAAAATAATAAAACAAAATATAAATTATATATAACTAATTAAAAAAATACTATTTTATTACAATTAATATAATTTTTAAAATTATTTTTATTTAATACAGGAGTCTAATTATAATAAATTAATAAACCAATGTTTTAGAATAATAATATAATATTTTTTTACATATAAATGAATCTAGAACTTACACATTGTTTTAAATATTATTGTTTTTTTTAATTTAAGTTTTGTTTAAATAAAATTTGGTAGTGATTTTTTTGAATTTTTTAATATTTATTTTAATTAATATTTTTAAAAAACTATGACTCATGTTGTAACATAACTCAACAAAATAAATTATTATATTTTATTATTTAATAAATACTAAAAATAAAAAATATATATATTGTCTTTTTATCATATCCAGCCTTAGGATATAAAAGAATTTGTTGAAACTTACTGTATATTTTTTGAAGTTTAAATTGGGCAAAAAGTGTTATAAAGATATGAATAATGGTTAAGGAAAGCAGGAAAAAAAAGAATATAAAGGAGAAAATTTGTAGAAATTAATATTTTTATAAAAAACTTATTTAAAATATTTAAAAAATTAAAAAAGTTAGAAGACCTGACAATTAAAAAATAAATATACTAATTTAACTTTTTAAAATAATATATCGTTTTTTTTTCAAAATATAATAAATTTAAAAACAATTTCCCAATTGAAAAGCTGGTGGATTCCAGCTTTGTGGCAGTTTTTACCTGACAGTTGAAATTTGTTCAAAAACTAGTGACATTTGATTTGATATCAAATAGTAACGGGTAAGGAAAAAGCAGGCGTTTGTCATTTCATGCACGCTTTATCTTACGTTATTTGAAATTTTCGTTATTGGATCGCTTTCTATGCGACGTTGTACGTTGTAAATCTATACTATGAGTTACGGTGACCTTACCTTTTAGTGGTATTGAATATTCTATTTCAGATTTATTATTCTTTTAATATCTTCAAAATTAAAAAGTATTTATAATTTTTTAAAATAAACTAATAATTTCAATTTTTATTAATATAAAATTAATAATTATGATTATTTTACATATAAAAAAAACATAAAATACTCTTATTTTACATAATTTACCTTGTAAGTTCGAGAACTTCTTACTTGTAAATATATACTAATTAATAGGCATAAGTGGGTCTCAAGCTACTTCGAATAGTCAATTTCATGTTGTATAGCAAAAAAATAAAAAATAAAAAAACCTCATTTACAAGAGTCACTATCGATAATTTTATTTCAGGCAGAGAATATATTTTTTAATTATCTTATTTTGAAATTTTTTAAAATTTTGCGATATTAAAAAAAAAAACGATATATCACTGGGTTTGATACGGGCAAAACTAGAGTTGCGCAGTATTCCCCTGCAAAAATCATAATCTTTCATTTTACATAAGGTGGTTTACATTAAAAAATTTCATTGAAAAGTTACCTAACTTGTCCCCAACGTGTATTACAAATTGGGAAAGTCATGTCATATTCAATGATTTATTATTTTTTTCCAGTTAATGCCCTTTAATTCTAAACTACTAACGTGTCCTGCTCCATCTTCAATATATTTTACGTGCAAGGATTTTTTTTTTTTTAAGAAGTGTTGTATTTTTTAACTTTTTAAAAAAAAATTCTTAATATTTTTAATTTCCTGGTAACATAAATATTTAATATGTTTTAATATTTTTATTTTATATATAAAATATATACGTTAAGGAGTGTTAAATGGATTTTTAAATGTTTTTAAAATAAATACTAAATATTTTAATGTTTCTTATATAATAAATATTTTATTTTTTAACAAAAAAATTGAGAAAAAACTACTTTATTTCTCGAAATCATTATCCTAATTGCATTTTTGGCTTTCATATATTAAATTAAGAATATAAAATACACTTTAATTTAACATGTTTAAAATTCAATGCAAATACTATACACATAATTCAGTCTCATCCAATTTAACAACCAGCAAAGCTGGGACATAGGAAAAGGAACGCGGATCCCTTGCAATCCGAAAGAGATAGGAAGCTAATTTATCTCTACTCATTATTTTATTTTTCATCTTTGATGTTCACGTAATTAAATAAAAAAATAATATATAGTAATATTTCAATAAACAGGACTAAAAATAAAAATTTATAAAAAGTAAGGACTAAAATAAAAAAAATATTTAAATAAATTAAAATAGAAAATTCACTAAAATATAAAAATAAAAATATATTTAAGTTAATATATAAACAAAAAAGTTGATATGAGTACATAAAACTTCGAGGAGAGCCAGGTTCTAAGAATAGCCACGGTTCAAGGAAAGGTTAAAAGAGAAATATAAGTAATATATTTTTAATTATTAATTAAATTTTAAGAATAACACTACTTTGTTAAATAAAAGGTCATATTATGAAAGAAAAAGTAATTAAAACGAGTAAGGAATGAGCGGATTCAAAAACTGGATTTTAAATATAAATTTAAAATGTGAAATTTGAATATAAATATAAAATTTGAAGTTGACAACATAAAATTATATATATATATATATATATATAAAACATATATTTTAGAACAAATTATTATTTTTTAAATTATACGTTATATGTGAAGATTTTTATGAAGTTAATATTATTTATTAAATATAATTATATTTTTTATGTTATTATTATTCTTGAATTGACTACTAAAGGGTAAATTATAACTAATCAATTAATAGATGAACCTATCAATTATTATGTTAACAGAATTAATGGTAATTTAAATTTAAAAATTAAAAAAATTAATCAATTACATCAACTTCTAATTATTTAATTAAATTTAATATTTTTTAATACTCTTATTTATATTATCACTTTCTATCATTATAACATATAAATAAGAAAATTGTTAATATTAAATAGTAGTAATAATTAATTAAATAATTAATAAGTATTTTAATATAATATAATAAAATTGAATTAGATAACATATAAATAATCATAAGAAGAAACGGAAGTTCCGAATTTTTATCCATATAAATTAACTTTGTAATTTTTTTATTTTGATTTTTTTAATTCAAATACTCCATACATTATGTTGTTTAACATTAAAAAAACATTAATAATAAATATTAGTGATTATAATCATTATAGTTATGATTATAGTTTTTGTAAAAACAACAATAAAAAAAGCAAATATTTTTTTATTATAATTTATGGATATACTTGTCTGTTTAATTTTTTTTTTAAAAGGTTTAAAATCCACAACATTAATAGACACTACTTGCTGGACCAGGCTGACTGAATCCTTTCATATTGCTGGCGTGCAATTAATTTTTTGTCTTTTAAGTCCTTTTTTAGCCATAAGTGATGTGAATAGCATGTCAATTTTATTTTCTAAAAAATTCCTCTTCAATGAATTGAATGAAAAGGAAACTTTACAATATATAATGTTAAATTAAGGCGCATTATTCCTAATTTGATACACGAAGATAAAAGATGTAACTATGGTAATAATTTATAAGAATAAATTATTATACTTGATATACATGATAGAAAAATAATTATTTAATGAATATGTCTGATTCAATTTATTTTAACAATATTACATTTTTAAAAAGTATTTTTAATATCTACTTTTAAATTAACATTTAGTTTAAACACGGGAACTATCATGAAAGTTTTGCGAAGATGTTTTTTTTTTTAATCTTCCTTTGAACTTTTTTCTTCTGGATACAGCCAATCAAAGCAAAATATCAATTATAACTTGAGGAGAGGAGATAATTTTCTTTTGGGTATTTCACTGCTTTATTAATAACATAATACGTGCTATCACCTATTTTGCATCACTTCGAATTAATGCATTTACACCGGTTAACTTGTCTATATTCATCACCCACCCTCTTTAATGTAACGTGTAAGGTCTCATGTCGGCATTATATTTAATTGATAGAAGATTTTATTACATATATTATTTAAAATAAGATGAGTAAGAATGGAATTTATCTAATATTAGAATAAAATAAAGCCTAAAAAATTAGTAGGTTTATTATTGAAATATTTTTACACGAAAATCCATCCTTGCACCCTTAAAATAAGCTTAGGAAATAAAAATATGTTATTATGTTATGTTTCATTTTATTTTTAATAATTTACTCAATAAATCCTAACGTGTTTCTGACTCCAGTCCATCTTATTAATCCACTAATAGCTTAAATATCCAAAATTTGATTACGTTTTTTTTTTAAATATATATCTGGGTTTTAATTTTGAATTATATATATATATATATTACAAATTAATCTTTAGTCTTCATAATTTTTTAAAAATTGTGTTCCTTAATATCTATAGACTATAGTATGTCACCTCACTTATATATGTAGTGTGCCTCTCAGCTCAAACCGTTGAAGCGCAATGAACATTACATGCTGCAATTAATTCAGGTGGATTAATATCTTGGGAGAAGTTTGAAGACACAACTTTTGCTCTAGCTTTGAAAACTCAAAACTAAGAGCAATGACTGTAATTCAGATGCTTCTGAACGTTGCATTGCCCCCATTATCATTGATTCTGATGTCTGCTTTCATGCCACCTTTACTTTTATTCAAGCTACTTATGTATGTCAAAAATTTGGTGCATACCGAAAACATGGCAAGAAAAGTAGTACTAATCACCGGAGCAGCCTCAGGGATTGGCGAGGTCTAACTCTCTTTCTCTCCTTTCATTTAAAGAATTAAAAATAAATAAATAATAATTATTATTATTACATCTTTCTTATTCATATATATTTTAATTAAAATTTTTCTAATCATGCTATTAAAGCTTTGTTCTGTGTCTTCAAAAGCAACTAGCTTATGAGTATGCAAGGCGAGGAGCAATGTTATCTCTGGTCGACATCAGAAAGGACAATCTTGTAGCTGTGGCTGATAAGGTGCGCTCTCTGGGTTCCCCTGAGGCTATCATAATTGGCGCAGATGTATCCAAGGTTCAAGATTGTAAGCGTTTTGTTCATGAAACGGTGAACTACTTTGGACGATGTACGTCACGTGCTGCGCCTGTGATGATTTTTGTTTTTTTTTTTTGTGTTAGATATTTCTGTATGTCAATTTCTATCTTCTTCTCTTTTCATGGTTTCTAATAAAATTTGATGGAATGGTGTTACTTGCAGTGGATCATCTGGTAAATAATGCTGGAATTGGTAATTCTTTAGCAAGGCTGGAGGATTGGAGAGAAGGTTTTGAATTGTTTCCGATCATGGTAAGCCACTATTTGTAAGAAAAATCATTGTTGTATATACCTCGTTTGTAAAGATATGGACATCATTGTTATATTTTAAAAAATAATTAACCTTATTTTTAAATTTTATAACACTTATTATGACTCGTTTTTTTTTCTTTTATCTTATCACTTATTTTATATTACACTTGGTTTTCTCTTGGTGTTAATTCACAGGACGTAAATTTCTGGGGAGCAGTTTATGGCACTTTATATGCAATTCCACATCTGAAAATGAGCAAAGGCAGGATCATAGTGGTTGCTTCAGGTTGCGGATGGTTCCCACTTCCAAGAATGAGCATCTATAATGTAAATAATCTTTGGATATACATTTCAGACTTGAAAAGATAGTGCATGCCACAAAACAATTAATTACATTATAATAAATTTAAATTGTGATTGTTGAATGGATACAGGCGAGCAAGGCAGCAGTCATAAGCTTCTTTGAGACTCTGAGAATTGAAATTGGTAGGAGTATTGGCGTAACTATCGCCACGCCCGGTTTAGTGAAAACGGACCTTGCACTGAGGGCCATTAAGAATGAGGTTGGTCTTGTATACAACACCACCTCTTCCAATGACTATTTGTAAGTTGTTATTGAAAACTTTATTTATCATAATGTTGATTCTGTATTGCAATCCAGAGTACTCTAGGAAGAATTCCACTGGAGTCAGCATCTGAATGTGCTAAAGGCATAGTGGAGAGTGCATGCAGGGGAGATAGGTACGTGACAAACCCATCATGGTTCAAAGTGATGTTTCCATGGAAGGTGCTTTATCCTCAAGTCGTGGACTGGGCCTGCCGCTTTGTCTTTGGGCTTTTTCCAAACATGAAAGGCGATGTGCACTTGTCCACGAAATTAGAGAATAAGGCAGAATAAAATGTTACACGCATTATCAGTTTTATTACCGTCATCCAAGACTAGTTAAACTGCAGCTACAACTTTTGTTTATAGAAGATTATTTAAGTTGCTCATCTAATTACTGTTTTTAGCTCTTGTTTATGCTTTGTGCTGATTCAAAGGAAAAACAATTATTTTCTAGCGGCTAGATTTTTCTTACAAGGTTTGTATTTTTATTTTGTTGTATTTAATGTATACAAGATTGTAAGTGTTTTAATTTTTATTATATTGTATCGTTGTAACGATGTTAATATATATATATATATATATATATATATAAGTCTAAAAAGTTTTAATTTAATTTAAGCTTTTTATTTAATTAAATCTAACGGTTAGTGAAATAATAAATTATAACCCGTTAGATTTAAATTAAAAAAAAAGCTCAAATTGGTTATAAAATTTATAAGAAGATCCTTCCCATATATATATATAGAAACTGTTAGACTTTTTTATTGAGAGATTGTTGTCGGCCTTAAACGCAAGCTTTATGGACATAAAATTTAATTTTAATTGAACAACAAAATAAAAGATGTGATATTATATTTAAATTTTGTTCATTTTAATATACTAAATCAATCCTCTTATTTTCATCTATTAAATGAAAATTTTATTTTTTAATGGAATTAAACTACATAAATATTAATTTACTGATGAAAAAAAAATTACCAAGACACAAATAAAAATTGAGCATAAAAAAGACGTTCACAATTTGAATTTGTTTAATGTAAATCCATATTATTAATAAAGTCAGCCGTAGACCACTCATCTTCCAAGTTGGTTCTTGATCCAAGCTTTTCTTCGTAATTACTAATGAAAAACTTTAATATCACCCTTTAATATAATCAAAATAATCCTTAAAAAATAGATAAGGAATCCGTTCAAAAAACAGATTATTTGAAAATGTAAAGCATAAAGCTTGATTAGCTTTACATTAAGAGAAATAAGAATTATTTTGCACAAATTGTACTTATTAAGTAATACGATTAATATATTACTATTTTAAATATAAAACAATAAAATAATTTTATATTATCAAAACTTAAATAATTTTGTATGTAACATAATAACAATAACGTATATGATTTTATTATTTCAGCAAACAATTTTGTACACAATAATTATATGCGAATTCTTCACCCACAAAAAAATATACACAAAATTAAATTGTTGTATCGGTGATGGAAGAATACTTTTATTTCAATATTATTTTTTCATTATAATATTTGCATCACAACATAAGACGGGATAAAAAGAGAAAGGTAAAATAAGATGAGAGATGTGATAAATAAATAAAATTTCAAAATTATTTCTTTTTTATATTAAATGTTATTTTGAGTTTTTTATGTGTTTTAAATTATTTATCACTTTAAAATATTTAAAAATAATTTTTAATTATACTTTTATTTATTAGATTAAATTTTGTCAAATAACTCTTATAATAGCTTTAACATTACAATAATTTTAATATTTTTCATCGAAATATTTTAATGAATTAATTATTTTATTAAAATATACATTGAAGTATAAATGACATTTAAAAATAACATAAAGGAACTATGAAAAGACTTTTGAAATAACATTATTCTAGCTCTACCACTTGTCAAGATCCAAAAGATGCCACGAGTTGCTTACTCTCCATGCAAAATGCCAACGTTGCAAAACTTTAACACCTAAATTGTCGTGGCCATTGAAACACACAATCATAAAATTGCTGTGTGTTTTTATCGCTCAAGTTTTCTTTTCTCCCAGACAAGGCAGAAAGGCCCAACAAAAACCATGGATTTAATTCATGGAATCTTGAACATTCTAGCTCCCCCTCTAAGCCTGATTTTGATGCTCTACATTATACCACCATATATGTTATTTAAGTTTCTCCACTTCATCATAAGATCAATGTTTAGTGAGAACGTGGCAGGAAAAGTGATACTAATCACTGGAGCCTCCTCGGGCATAGGCGAGGTTCTTAGTTCCTAATTACAAGCACCAGTGTTTAAATCATTTAATGTTCCAATCATACATGTTCTTGCAATTAAGTGGAATTGGTTCGTCTTTGTTTTCTTTTTTGATTTGTTTTGCATAGCATTTAGCATATGAATATGGAAGAAGAGGAGCACGTCTAGCTCTTGTTGCAAGAAGAGAGAATCGACTCAAAGAGGTTGCTACCACTGCCAAGTCGCATGGATCCCCTGATGTCATCACCATTCCTGCTGATGTTTCAATAGTCAAAGATTGTAAACGATTCGTTGACTTAACAATCAACCATTTTGGACGATGTGAGTTATATAATCTTCAGTTTTAAAATTCATTGTGTGATTTTAATTAGCTTATGATTTTAAAATACATCGTTTCATTTTATTCTGTTACTTGCATGTGTATTTACAATCTTAAAAATATAAAATTAGTTTTTTTATACAGTAATTAGAGAATTTGTAGACGTAAACAAAGAAGATTTATAATTATTTTATATCATTATACAATCCAGATTTATTTTTCTTGTCGTAGTGTAAAAATGGCTTATCCATTGGATATATGTCATACATGTGTATATATAAGTGTGCATTGATTTCGAAGTTTATGGGATACATGGTTGATCATTTGTTAATTTTGACCTTCCTTTGTAGTGGATCATTTGGTGAACAATGCAGGAGTAGTTCCTATCGGCTTGTTTGAACACACCACTGATACCACTAATTTTGCACCTACAATGGTAAACGATCTATCAATTTTTTTTTAAGAGTTCTCTATTAATTAACATTTGCCAACACATCATGATGAGATTATGGAAATGGGAAATATCGATCACATCCCCTTCTTCTTTCAAGAATATACGATGTCGATTTGTGGGTACATACAATACACTTCTTATATATATAACCTTTCCAATTCTTCAATTCAGTAATAATAGCTCATAAGAATAAAGCAACCGCTCTCACAACCTCCTTATCATCGAAATATGGAGTCTGTTAATTTCCTATTAGGAAGAAAGTCACCAACCCTCCATTATCTTATACTAATTATAATTCAAAATATGTTTGAATATACTATAAAATAAGAATACACTAGGAATTATCAAAGCAGGAATATGGTAAAAGCAAGTGGAAGTACTTTGCTTACTAGCTAGTTTAGTAAGTTTCACATACAGGAATTCCAAACCAGTAGAGATAGATTGGAGCACAATATATTCATATAATTTTATAGTAATATTGAATGGTTTTCTATGGATAACTCTTGCAATCCATATTCAACAGGACATTAACTTCTGGGGTTCCGCGTATTGCACATATTTTTCAATCCCCCATCTCAGAAAATGCAAAGGCAAGATCATAGCAATAGCTTCCGCTGCTGGGTGGTTGCCTGCTCCAAGAATGCTCTTCTACAATGTAACATAGGAGACCCCATCACCAAGCTAATTAAGCTTTCGTTATGATATCTTTCTTTCTTGTGGCAATAGTCATTAACCAATTTATAGCTTTCCAAATTCTTTAGGCGAGCAAAGCAGCAGTGATAACCTTATATGAGAATCTGAGAACCGAATTGGGAAGGGACATAGGAATAACTATAGTCACTCCTGGGTTGGTTGAGTCAGAAATGACGCAAGGGAAGTTCCTATCCAAGGAAGGCCAAATGGTTCTTGACCAAGAAATGAGAGATGTAAGCTACCTTTATACTGTTCAAGGCAATTATTTAGTTCTCCTATCATATGACTTTTATTTATATATTTAGGTTAAATTATAATTTTAATCTCTATATTTAACTTACTTTTATTTTAAACTAATACAAAAAAAATTATATTTCAATTCTTACGTAAAAATAATGTTTATAAATTGACTTTCATAAGTTCTAAAGATGTTAGGGTATTTTTTTTAACGGAAATCGTTAAATAAAACTGTTAAATGTTGGAACTGAATTTAATACCATATTTCTAACTTTAATAAATAGAAGGAATTGGTCAATAAATATTTTTTTTGGAGAGAGAGAGAGAGAGAGATGTGTTAAGTGAGGAGATAAAATTTATAAAATAAAAATTCTTTTTTGGTTTTCTGGCAACAGGTTCAAGTAAGTGTGATGCCTATAAGATCAGTCACAGAAGCTGCAAAAGCAATTGTGAATAGCGCTTGCCGCGGGGACTCGTACTTGACCGAGCCAGCATGGGTTAAGGCAGCGTTCTATTGGAAAATATTCTGCCCTGAAGTATTAGAGTTTTGTAACCGCTGGCTACTAATCTCGGGGTCTTCAGAGAGGGATACAATTAGCAAGAAGCTCCTCCATCTATCGAGGTTAAAGACATATCTGTATCCCGAGTCAATCAGAAATCCCAATCTCAAACCCAACTAACTACCAAATTTATGCCTATGAAATATACAGGTTATGCCATGTTATTTCAACTAATATACCTAGCTGTCCTAAAGTAACGTGAACTAATTATTGGTAAGGAAATAATGGCTAAGATGGTCCTATACTTATGAATTCTTGAAGGACTTGGACAACTGACACCAATCACTTTCATCGCTGTTTCATTTTGATGCCTTGAAACTCAGTCTAAGAATTTAGTTTAGATTTCCACAAGTGCATGGCCAACATTCGCATGAGTGAAAATATAAAAGGTAAAAAGGGGGCGCTCATGTTTGTTTGTATTTTTAAAAAGAATTTTTTCCTTTTAAAAACTAAAATTACATATATTTTTAATTTTTAAAAAGAGAAAATTCTTTTTAAAAATGTAAACAAACGTACTCTTAGTTTATTATTTTTAATGAACATTCCTTAATTTACTATTTTTTTTAAAAAAAATCTTAGTTTTTATTTTTGTTTTATAAATATATAGTTTTCTTAATTTTAAAAATAAACCTTCTCAAATTTTACTCTTCAACATATATTTACAAAACTAGTTAGCTAAAAGGCAGCAAAGCTAAAATCAATGACAGAAAATTTACATTTCAAATTTAATTACCAAAACAATTGTTACATATATTCATGAACTACAACGCATCCTAACAGAAGAGATACGTCCCATCCTACAAAATAACCTCCAACGGCAACACGAATGACGATGAAAACATGGAAGGCTAATTCAGGCCTATATAGCCTGTAGGGATGTACCTGGCAACCTTTGATCACATTAGTTATCTTAATTTCTTTCCTCCTTTTCCCAATAATCATTCATTACTTTTACCAATGCAGGGTACTAGTAACGTCATTCCTTGATATGATGTCAATGAACACTAAACATTTTATCGCCTTTCCTCTGGACCTCAATATATAGTCTGTAGGTCAACTTTGAACCTTTACCTGTGAGGTAGCATACAAGTTGGTTCAGCACCAAATGCTAACTCATAATGCCATATTTCTGAGTCCATCTTAGTTATACTAGGATCTGGGGACTCGAGGATTTTGGTGAAGTACGGAGAACGAAATTATTTTCATATTGAATACGTAATTGTAAGGCCTGCAATAACACATTTCCATTCATGTTATATTTGCTTGGTGTAACCATTTTGAGCCCAACTCTGTTGCGCCCAAATAATGAACTGCTAGCCATTCAGAAAATTACGGGGATAATTCAATTGGATCCGAAGGAAAATGTGTTTGAACTTGTGCAGGGTAAAGAGTCTTCAGTCTTCTCAGAAGTAACCACGCATCGGATTGAGGACAACCTTGATTCATATCTAAGGCAAGTGGAAGGGAAGATTTTCTATTTAATTCCACAAGTATTACTCCCTAGAGAAAAAGAAAGAAGATGTGAATTAACAGAACGAAGATACAATTATTAATTTGCAACCAATTCTCATGGCTAACTGCATGCAACTTGCAGGAATCTAACAGATTGCCTTATGTCTATCGAAATAGAGATTGTATTACCTCAAAATTTGCTAAAAAGGTTTGAAATTTGCGCATTGTATCCTTCATGTTGTGGACAACATTCGTGTCAGGAGAAGAAAGAGCTGCAGTGACCTCCTGGGCAGAATAACCAATTCCTTTCTGTACAACCTAAATTTTTTTATCATTGATCAACTTAGTACAATAAAACGATGAAGCCTATCAAATAAAAGCTTAAATTCTAGAGCTAACTCACATCATGATCAATGAGGATTTCAGAAATAAGGCTACCATCGTCTACATATGCCAGAAGCTCATATGTTGTCCTTTTCTTATACTGGAATCCTTTTACACCAGTCAAAAAGCACTGCAAAACGAAAATAGCATTTATACTCAAGAAAAACATAAGATTGCACAAACTCCAAAGAAAACATAAGTAGAATTATGAGATGCTCGAAGAAAATTTCATCCAAAGAACCAATGAAATTGCAATGAATGGCTGATATTCAAATCTCAAACAATAAGGTGCTTAACATAAAGAGGAGAAAATACAAACACGTGGATTCTGGCCAGAGAAACTTCTGACATTATTGTCGTAAAACATGGTTGATAGTCCATACCAACTACTCATTGGTTGAAGAGTGAAGAATCAATAAAAGAAACGTGAATACTAACACATGCATAAGTGGTAAAAATCACTGCCCAAAGAAAGAAAGAGCATATAGTTTTAACTTTTTACCTTAATTTTACCCTGAATCGAAGGAGCTTTCTCCTTCATTGCAACCCACTTGGCTGACAAACTAGCTAAGTATGTGAATGGAACCTCTTGGACTCCGGACACTGTGACTGGGCAGTCACTGCCATCAACCATCTGTATATCACTAGTGTTTGAGATAGTGGAGGAGGATCTTCTCGGAAGAGCATTATCTGTGGTTAGATTAATTCTATCCCTGCTTGTCTCAACATTTTCAACAACAGGAGGGCACTCAGTAGCCCCAGAACTTTCTCTGGTTGTATGAACAGTATCCTTATGTGCAGCTGCAACATTTGATCGCATGTGAGAAGACTGATTATCAACAGAATCTTCCCTGGAGACATTAGCAACATCTATGTGCATATCCTCAGCCTCTGAGATAATAGAAGAGAACTGGTTCGCCATAGAATTGGCACGGGACATCGGATTGATGTCCCCATGCATATTTATGTTCATGGCCTCAGCATTTGACAGCATGTGGGGTATTGAATTAGAAGCAGAATTTTGTGCACCCATGACAAAAGTATCATCAGTTGTGAAGATGTTACCAGTGCCAGAAATGCTCAGGCCAGCACCTGTAGTTAAACACACATGTGAAGAACAGACAAGAACAAGATCGGGGAAACTAAGATGGTGATTGGCTACTTCACATATGTAAACCCTCATCCACATACTTTTATCTGTAGCATAAGAATGTACCTTGGCTGTTTGCCTGGATAGAATCAGTACTGTGCAATGTAGAGCCACTTTGCCCAATATCATCAACTCCACTCGAAGGCCATGCAGCAAGAGTTGCTCTAGTTGCTAAAGGAGGAAACACTCCATTTTTGGTTCTGCATGAGGAGAATGAAGACTAACTAATCAAGGTTTACCTATGTGCAATAAAATCATATATTGTGATAGACTAATATTAGAAGCCAGTAAGAAACAAGAGAAAGTTGGACTACTGCAGTTTCCATTTTAAGATATCACGCAACTTCCCCCTTCGCACATTTTAGTCCAAATAATGACTGCAATAAATTCTACCTTTTTCCCCTAGGCGGCTTATTTAATTCTTCAACCAACTGTTTTCTTGCTGCATCCAGCTGCTCAACTAATCCCCCCAAAATTTCAATGGTTTCAGGGACAAGCATCAGAAGTCCACGATGGACACGTACGTTAGAGATAGCAACCTACATGTATCAAATAGATCCCTCAAATTCACTTTTACTAATAACAAGGAATATAACCAAATAAGTTGTGTGTCACATGGATAGCAGATGGAAGTGATAACCTAAAAGAAGGCCAAAAGAAAATAAGAATAAGAATGAACTGCTATTTATTTGATTGAGCTGGTGCCATATATCAGAAGTATTAAATTTCCTAAAAATATTGCATCCAAATTAGTACAGTTTAGAAATCATTTATCAGCATCTTTTGTTTTAACAAAATTTATGCAAAAGTAATCCAACAAACACAAGGTTTAATTTAATAGTCCACGTCGCAAGTTACTTAAAATACCTGTTGCCAAATTATAGTCATAAACATTAGTATTACACACAATACCACTGCCACCTTAATCTCAATAACTCAAACGTAATTAACATGTATTCAAGGAGTATATCTAGTTTTTCTGATAAGTGTTTTTGGAAGTGCATCATGCCCGTGTATTCAAATTAAAAGAAGGAAAAGCATTGGAGAAACCTTTAAACCAGAAGATGCACAAACTTCAAGAGCTTGGATGGGCCTGTACTCCATCCCAAAGACTCTCTGAACGCCATCAGTCAATGACAACTTCAGGCACCTTTTAAGTCCAGGAGGGGCTTGTTCATATCTGCTTCGTAGAGGACAACTAATATTGATTATTTCATCAACCTGCCAACGCAATCCATCAAAACGACAGTGAATTGGACATTGTGGTGAAATTCCGCGAGCATGTCATTTTTCACGGTAAATTGAATGCTGTGCTGAAAATGCAAGGACATGCGAGTTTTCAGGTTCCACATATGAAATTGATAGAACTTAGCTATCAGCAGAAAATACACATCAGTAATCATCTACACAAAATTGCTCATTTATGCGCCGAGTCTGACAAATTATTCAAAGAGGGCTCCAATTTCAAATAAGATTTTGTTGTTTCTAAAGCACATTAACTTTACACCAAAATAACATAAGCAAATCAAGCAGACACTTATTTAATCAAATTCAAAAACCATTTTTGCATGCATCAAACTTACATTTCCTTCTTACTCGAAACATTCGATAACTAGTGGAGTTCAATTCAATATAAATACAACATTGGAATGCAACACTCCATAATAATTATAACAATAACATAAATAATTCAAAGGCGCACCTGCAATACGTAGGGACCAGGGAGAACGCTAAGGTGCATGGAATCCACATTGGGAGGGAGAACGCCGCTGCCACAGAAGTTCATATCAGCAAACAGAAATTGCTCAAAACAGAGCTTGGCCTTTGCGGCGACATCGAGGCCTTCGAAGCCAGTGACGGAGGCTTGGAGTTCGCAAAGACAGGAAGCAAGCCAGTCTCTCTTCAAGGCCAATCCGAGGCGAGGGAGGAAATTAGCGACGGGAGAGCCGGGAACAGGTTGCGGCTGAGGAGAGGGCGGAGAGAGGCTGTCGGAGACGTCGATGAATTCGTCGTCGTCGGAGATGTCGACGGACTCCGGGGGGAAAGTGGAAGCATTTGAAGGTTGATGAGTAACTGTAACTGTCTGTGGAGGAAGTGTGTTTTGTTGTTCTTCGTCGGAATCGGAGTCGAGCCTTTCCTTTTGGGTTCGCTTTTTACCTTTCTGTGACATAGAAGCAAGCTTCAAAAAACTAACACTAAAATAAAATTCTATCACAAATTTAAATAACATATTTATTCAACAGGTAAGGACTCAATGCCACTACAATGGCTTCATAGAACACAGAAACTTGAAGGAAATCAAGATATCATGTTTTGTTCACCTAAATGCAAAACAATCCCGAAAACTATATGGAGAGTTCAGAAGCAATTACCAACAATCAAAACGACAATTACCTAGAGCTTAATCCACTACATGCAGAATTTTAGCAACTGGAACTGAAAAATCCTGCTATAAAATTTAACCTATAACCACAAGCATCATAACTGCCCAAGATATTCACAAAACAAACTTTCAACTGCTTTACAAATCGAAAGGAACTTCATTTTATTTGCTAGGAACATCAAACGGTATCTTAGAAGTCAGGGATTCAATTATTATATTTAACCAATAATTTTTAACTTCAAGTTTGTTCACAGTTTCAAGAAACTTCTTCAGGTGCAAACATCAAAGAACAACTCAGGTGATTGGCTGAATTAGTGCAAAAAAAAAAAAAAAACAGCTGGAATATTTTCAGGCTCAATTACAGAACTTCAGAACCAAACTACCATCAACAGTAAACCTGTTAATATGCCAACATCAGACAAAAACATACTTTATGATACAACGTTCTACTTGAAGCTCATCCACATAAGTCCATATAAATGGAAAGTAAATTCAAATCCCACTCATAGGGGTAGGATCAGACAAACATAACTGAAAACAATCACATTCAAACCTAATTAAAGACAAAGAGATCATCACTGATATACATATAGCGGATGATTACAGATACTGAAGCACAATCTACAAGAATCAAATACTCAGTCACATTTTGATGCAAGCAAGAGAATGCCCAACATAGTCTAGCACATAACTATTGTGAGGCAAACCAAAATGAATTTCATGTATAGTATGGCAACACACCTTGGCAGGAGTTTCAGATCCTTCACCAGAAGATTTGCTAAGCCTTTCCTTTCGGGTTCGCTTTTTACCTTTCTGTGACATAGAAGCAAGCTTCAAAAAACTAACACTAACATAAAATTCTATCACAAATTTAAATAGCATATTTATTCAACAGGCAAGAACTCAATGACACTAATATCAGCTATACATGATTAATTAAATCTACGAAAATATACTTCTGAAAATTGACTAATTCAATTGTTGAATTATAAGTCATACTAAGCTTGCAAGTTAAATACAGAAAATTGCACAAAATAAATCTTCAATCACGCATGGACATGTTAAATATGAAAAAGTTGTACTCTATATGAGAAAGGTAACAGTGGGATTAATTTTGTCACAACTTATACCAATATTAATTAACCCTTATCCTCACACAGTCATATTAAATAAAGTAAAATAAAACCTTTTCCTTTTCAGAAAGCAGAATGTCAGTTGTAGCATGTGGGGACTCCAAAAATTCCAACAATTTCGCAGACAGTTCCTCCTGAAATGTCACATCAATAACAGATTTTTGGATAGACATTCTTTGATTCCATGTGAGAATGGAAAAATATTACGATCAACACTTACCTTCTTCATACCAGTTTTGTTTATTGGAATATTAAGCACATCACAGAAGTCCAACAACTTTTCTTTGATACATTTGTCAATTCTCTCCCTTATCTTGGCCCTCTGTTTTTCCTGCCAAGAATTATAGAACCATACTATTTGCAGGTTAATTACAGCTTCAGACATTCAAATATTTAACAAAAGACAACATGCACACCTAACCAAAATAAATAAATAAACAAGACATTAAAACAAAACCCATTCATCTGCATATTTAAGAATAAAAGACAAGCAATATTACAGTGTATAATGCAACTGTACCTCATTTTCAGCCCACACAAAGTCAGAAAACAGCCCTATATTTCTCTCTAGATTGGCTTCAGCTAGGGGTTCTCCCACTTGAGGTTTCTCCTCTTCTAGGGTTTCTGAAGACATGGTTGAGACTTAAGAGACAGAGAGCGAGAGAGAGGAAAACGAATTGCGAAGAAAGTGAAAACCTAAGCAGTGGATGAGAAGATTAGAAGGAATCAAAGCGATTGTGATTGGAAGAGAGAGAGAGAGAGGGAATCGTGAAATGAAATGAGATTGGAGGGGACGAAATAAGAGGAGGCGCGCTGAAGGAGTTGTGTTTCAAATTTGATACCAAATTTCTGAGTTGGGTGTTGGACATTGGACATTGCTTGCTTTTACATTCCTACTACTCCTACACGTGCTCGTTATCACTTTGAGTGCCAACTGGGAAGTGGTGCTAAGGGAATCTCTTTCCTTTCGGGCTAATGGGCTTCCTATTCTCAACCTTTCACTAAATTGTTAGCCCATGGTTTTGGGGAAGTGCGTTGTAGATTTTAGATTGTGGAAATGCTTCAGCAAAATAAAAAAGATTGCGCAAATGAGGGATCGCATGCCTGCCATTGCATTTACTTTTGAAGCAAAGCTATTAACTACGAAGGGAAGGAAATTCAACATTTAAATAGTGATTAATAGAATACAAGCGAATTTCGAAAAACTGGGAAATGATAATACACAGATATAGATATATGCTCACCTTTTCAATTGACAAAGCTTTGCTTGAAGAAGACCTCGGAAACTTAGAAGGCGAAGAAACAGTGTATCTCTCCCCCGTTTTCCTCTCCCTAGTTGGTCTCTCACTTGCTGGCGTAGCGGGATCGCTTTCTTTGGTTGACTTGTTTGACTTGACTTTGACACGCTTCTTCCTCTCTTCCTCTTCGTCCTCTTCATCATCTGCTTCTTCCTTCTACTCTTCTACTTGGCTTTTCTCATCGACGTCTTTCTTCTCCGAATTATCTTCTTCTTCTACAATTGGTAAAAAATGGAATTCTTGGGGTGAAGGAGAGACTCTTTTTTTTTTCATTGGACAGGGGAATGTGAAAATTTTCTAAATTGAAGATTCAAATTCTAGCCATAATACACATATCATATTTCTTTCGCCACTTAACTATCACGGCAAGAAAGGGCTTTTTTCCCTTATTGGGATCATTTTAAAAAAAATTTATTGATATGGATTTTCTTTAAAACAGATTCTCTTTGGGATTGGTGGTGTAAGTAGTATCAAAATCGTTTAAAAAAAAGAAAATATAAGTGATCACATATTAAATTATCAAAATATCATCTTATTATTAGCCGATACAAATGATATGACAGTTTATATGTCATTAAAATTGTCTAGAAAAGATATGACACATATGATGATATGACATGTTATAAAAGTATCGTCTCATTTTTAGCTAACATTACTGATATAGTAACACGTGTCCAACTAAAAACTATTATCATTCGTATTTAAGATGTTTGGTAATGTGAATGTTAGACCTTTTTATTTATTTTTTTCAAATTTTATAATTACATTAAAATTAACAATTTTTTAAAATATATACATAATTTTATCACTTTTAATTTATTTATGTAATTCTTAATATTAGACAATAAATTTATTATTCTTTTAATTTTATTATTCTTATTCAATAATAATTTTGTTTCTTAAATTATAAAGTTTATTTTTAATATGTAATGTTTTCAATAATTTTGAAGTAAGAATTCTTATATTTTATAATTAATTTTTTAATAAATATAATACTTTAAATCTGTTTATCATTATTATATATATTTTTTTTATCTATTCTATTATATAATTGTGTATGTTGTTTTTTAACAATAATTTTAATAAAAAAAACTCTATTTAATCTTTTTTTAAAAACTAAATATTATTTTTACTACATCTAATTTTTTTTTTATCTTAATCTACCATCAACATATAAAATTTATTATTTTCATTGCATTTCATATTTTTTTTTTCCATTACCATGTTTTTTTTATTTTTTTTCTGAACCATGAAACTATTTATAATTTTCTTTCCTCTTAATTTATCAATTTATTTTAATTAAATTTATCTTATTATTTAATAATTAATAAATATCATTTAATTAATATATTTTTAATTTAATACATTTTTAAACAAACTATTTATAAATAATATAAATTATATTATATAATTTCTAATAAAATTTATCTAAAATTTTAATTGTTACAAATACATAAATTGATATTAATAATATTTAAAAATAAAAAAATTGTACACCTCCGCAGACTGGTTTCTTTTGAAGATTTTAAACTCTCTTCTAATAAAACACGTGTCACCATCTCATTAATGTAGACTAGAGATGAAATAATACTCTTATAGCATGTCAAGTCATTACTTATAACATCTCCTTTTTATTTGTTTTAAAGAAATCTGCATAATTTATTTTTTAAATTACGCCAATAAGAGTAAAAAAAGCCGCAAGAAAGGGTGGAGAGACCCTAAAATGAAATGGGGGAATTTTGTTTTTTGCTGGAGTAAGTGATCTTAATTGGGCCAGATTTGGGTCTGAGCCAAGTTACGCCCACTTTGGGGGAAAAAACAAAAGTTTCCATTGTTTCTCCACTCCGCGCGCTGGAGGGTGGAGTTGGGTTCCTTCTCAATGGTCTCATAAGGGAAAAGGAGGAAGGAGGGAAAAAGAGCACTGCACATTTCCATTCTTTTATTCTGCAAAAATGTCCATTCGCCGTCTCAGGCTCGACTCTGATTCCGACGAAGAACAACAAAACACACTTCCTCCACAGACAGTTACAGTTACTCATCAACCTTCAAATGCTTCCACTTTCCCCCCGGAGTCCGTCGACATCTCCGACGACGACGAATTCATCGACGTCTCCGACAGCCTCTCTCCGCCCTCTCCTCAGCCGCAACCTGTTCCCGGCTCTCCCGTCGCTAATTTCCTCCCTCGCCTCGGATTGGCCTTGAAGAGAGACTGGCTTGCTTCCTGTCTTTGCGAACTCCAAGCCTCCGTCACTGGCTTCGAAGGCCTCGATGTCGCCGCAAAGGCCAAGCTCTGTTTTGAGCAATTTCTGTTTGCTGATATGAACTTCTGTGGCAGCGGCGTTCTCCCTCCCAATGTGGATTCCATGCACCTTAGCGTTCTCCCTGGTCCCTACGTATTGCAGGTGCGCCTTTGAATTATTTATGTTATTGTTATAATTATTATGGAGTGTTGCATTCCAATGTTGTATTTATATTGAATTGAACTCCACTAGTTATCGAATGTTTCGAGTAAGAAGGAAATGTAAGTTTGATGCATGCAAAAATGGTTTTTGAATTTGATTAAATAAGTGTCTGCTTGATTTGCTTATGTTATTTTGGTGTAAAGTTAATGTGCTTTAGAAACAACAAAATCTTATTTGAAATTGGAGCCCTCTTTGAATAATTTGTCAGACTCGGCGCATAAATGAGCAATTTTGTGTAGATGATTACTGATGTGTATTTTCTGCTGATAGCTAAGTTCTATCAATTTCATATGTGGAACCTGAAAACTCGCATGTCCTTGCATTTTCAGCACAGCATTCAATTTACCGTGAAAAATGACATGCTCGCGGAATTTCACCACAATGTCCAATTCACTGTCGTTTTGATGGATTGCGTTGGCAGGTTGATGAAATAATCAATATTAGTTGTCCTCTACGAAGCAGATATGAACAAGCCCCTCCTGGACTTAAAAGGTGCCTGAAGTTGTCATTGACTGATGGCGTTCAGAGAGTCTTTGGGATGGAGTACAGGCCCATCCAAGCTCTTGAAGTTTGTGCATCTTCTGGTTTAAAGGTTTCTCCAATGCTTTTCCTTCTTTTAATTTGAATACACGGGCATGATGCACTTCCAAAAACACTTATCAGAAAAACTAGATATACTCCTTGAATACATGTTAATTACGTTTGAGTTATTGAGATTAAGGTGGCAGTGGTATTGTGTGTAATACTAATGTTTATGACTATAATTTGGCAACAGGTATTTTAAGTAACTTGCGACGTGGACTATTAAATTAAACCTTGTGTTTGTTGGATTACTTTTGCATAAATTTTGTTAAAACAAAAGATGCTGATAAATGATTTCTAAACTGTACTAATTTGGATGCAATATTTTTAGGAAATTTAATACTTCTGATATATGGCACCAGCTCAATCAAATAAATAGCAGTTCATTCTTATTCTTATTTTCTTTTGGCCTTCTTTTAGGTTATCACTTCCATCTGCTATCCATGTGACACACAACTTATTTGGTTATATTCCTTGTTATTAGTAAAAGTGAATTTGAGGGATCTATTTGATACATGTAGGTTGCTATCTCTAACGTACGTGTCCATCGTGGACTTCTGATGCTTGTCCCTGAAACCATTGAAATTTTGGGGGGATTAGTTGAGCAGCTGGATGCAGCAAGAAAACAGTTGGTTGAAGAATTAAATAAGCCGCCTAGGGGAAAAAGGTAGAATTTATTGCAGTCATTATTTGGACTAAAATGTGCGAAGGGGGAAGTTGCGTGATATCTTAAAATGGAAACTGCAGTAGTCCAACTTTCTCTTGTTTCTTACTGGCTTCTAATATTAGTCTATCACAATATATGATTTTATTGCACATAGGTAAACCTTGATTAGTTAGTCTTCATTCTCCTCATGCAGAACCAAAAATGGAGTGTTTCCTCCTTTAGCAACTAGAGCAACTCTTGCTGCATGGCCTTCGAGTGGAGTTGATGATATTGGGCAAAGTGGCTCTACATTGCACAGTACTGATTCTATCCAGGCAAACAGCCAAGGTACATTCTTATGCTACAGATAAAAGTATGTGGATGAGGGTTTACATATGTGAAGTAGCCAATCACCATCTTAGTTTCCCCGATCTTGTTCTTGTCTGTTCTTCACATGTGTGTTTAACTACAGGTGCTGGCCTGAGCATTTCTGGCACTGGTAACATCTTCACAACTGATGATACTTTTGTCATGGGTGCACAAAATTCTGCTTCTAATTCAATACCCCACATGCTGTCAAATGCTGAGGCCATGAACATAAATATGCATGGGGACATCAATCCGATGTCCCGTGCCAATTCTATGGCGAACCAGTTCTCTTCTATTATCTCAGAGGCTGAGGATATGCACATAGATGTTGCTAATGTCTCCAGGGAAGATTCTGTTGATAATCAGTCTTCTCACATGCGATCAAATGTTGCAGCTGCACATAAGGATACTGTTCATACAACCAGAGAAAGTTCTGGGGCTACTGAGTGCCCTCCTGTTGTTGAAAATGTTGAGACAAGCAGGGATAGAATTAATCTAACCACAGATAATGCTCTTCCGAGAAGATCCTCCTCCACTATCTCAAACACTAGTGATATACAGATGGTTGATGGCAGTGACTGCCCAGTCACAGTGTCCGGAGTCCAAGAGGTTCCATTCACATACTTAGCTAGTTTGTCAGCCAAGTGGGTTGCAATGAAGGAGAAAGCTCCTTCGATTCAGGGTAAAATTAAGGTAAAAAGTTAAAACTATATGCTCTTTCTTTCTTTGGGCAGTGATTTTTACCACTTATGCATGTGTTAGTATTCACGTTTCTTTTATTGATTCTTCACTCTTCAACCAATGAGTAGTTGGTATGGACTATCAACCATGTTTTACGACAATAATGTCAGAAGTTTCTCTGGCCAGAATCCACGTGTTTGTATTTTCTCCTCTTTATGTTAAGCACCTTATTGTTTGAGATTTGAATATCAGCCATTCATTGCAATTTCATTGGTTCTTTGGATGAAATTTTCTTCGAGCATCTCATAATTCTACTTATGTTTTCTTTGGAGTTTGTGCAATCTTATGTTTTTCTTGAGTATAAATGCTATTTTCGTTTTGCAGTGCTTTTTGACTGGTGTAAAAGGATTCCAGTATAAGAAAAGGACAACATATGAGCTTCTGGCATATGTAGACGATGGTAGCCTTATTTCTGAAATCCTCATTGATCATGATGTGAGTTAGCTCTAGAATTTAAGCTTTTATTTGATAGGCTTCATCGTTTTATTGTACTAAGTTGATCAATGATAAAAAAATTTAGGTTGTACAGAAAGGAATTGGTTATTCTGCCCAGGAGGTCACTGCAGCTCTTTCTTCTCCTGACACGAATGTTGTCCACAACATGAAGGATACAATGCGCAAATTTCAAACCTTTTTAGCAAATTTTGAGGTAATACAATCTCTATTTCGATAGACATAAGGCAATCTGTTAGATTCCTGCAAGTTGCATGCAGTTAGCCATGAGAATTGGTTGCAAATTAATAATTGTATCTTCGTTCTGTTAATTCACATCTTCTTTCTTTTTCTCTAGGGAGTAATACTTGTGGAATTAAATAGAAAATCTTCCCTTCCACTTGCCTTAGATATGAATCAAGGTTGTCCTCAATCCGATGCGTGGTTACTTCTGAGAAGACTGAAGACTCTTTACCCTGCACAAGTTCAAACACATTTTCCTTCGGATCCAATTGAATTATCCCCGTAATTTTCTGAATGGCTAGCAGTTCATTATTTGGGCGCAACAGAGTTGGGCTCAAAATGGTTACACCAAGCAAATATAACATGAATGGAAATGTGTTATTGCAGGCCTTACAATTACGTATTCAATATGAAAATAATTTCGTTCTCCGTACTTCACCAAAATCCTCGAGTCCCCAGATCCTAGTATAACTAAGATGGACTCAGAAATATGGCATTATGAGTTAGCATTTGGTGCTGAACCAACTTGTATGCTACCTCACAGGTAAAGGTTCAAAGTTGACCTACAGACTATATATTGAGGTCCAGAGGAAAGGCGATAAAATGTTTAGTGTTCATTGACATCATATCAAGGAATGACGTTACTAGTACCCTGCATTGGTAAAAGTAATGAATGATTATTGGGAAAAGGAGGAAAGAAATTAAGATAACTAATGTGATCAAAGGTTGCCAGGTACATCCCTACAGGCTATATAGGCCTGAATTAGCCTTCCATGTTTTCATCGTCATTCGTGTTGCCGTTGGAGGTTATTTTGTAGGATGGGACGTATCTCTTCTGTTAGGATGCGTTGTAGTTCATGAATATATGTAACAATTGTTTTGGTAATTAAATTTGAAATGTAAATTTTCTGTCATTGATTTTAGCTTTGCTGCCTTTTAGCTAACTAGTTTTGTAAATATATGTTGAAGAGTAAAATTTGAGAAGGTTTATTTTTAAAATTAAGAAAACTATATATTTATAAAACAAAAATAAAAACTAAGATTTTTTTTAAAAAAAATAGTAAATTAAGGAATGTTCATTAAAAATAATAAACTAAGAGTACGTTTGTTTACATTTTTAAAAAGAATTTTCTCTTTTTAAAAATTAAAAATATATGTAATTTTAGTTTTTAAAAGGAAAAAATTCTTTTTAAAAATACAAACAAACATGAGCGCCCCCTTTTTACCTTTTATATTTTCACTCATGCGAATGTTGGCCATGCACTTGTGGAAATCTAAACTAAATTCTTAGACTGAGTTTCAAGGCATCAAAATGAAACAGCGATGAAAGTGATTGGTGTCAGTTGTCCAAGTCCTTCAAGAATTCATAAGTATAGGACCATCTTAGCCATTATTTCCTTACCAATAATTAGTTCACGTTACTTTAGGACAGCTAGGTATATTAGTTGAAATAACATGGCATAACCTGTATATTTCATAGGCATAAATTTGGTAGTTAGTTGGGTTTGAGATTGGGATTTCTGATTGACTCGGGATACAGATATGTCTTTAATCTCGATAGATGGAGGAGCTTCGTTGGGACTCTATAAACTATTTAGTAAAATAGCGATATTCTGTATATAAATTGGAGTGAAATAAATCAAGCTACTTTATTGGGAGTTTATGACCTAGTTTACATGATGCTCAGAATATACTAATCCTAATTTGTTGAAAAAATCAAAACAAAACCATTTCAAATGCTACTTCAGTTAAAAATACTCAACGCCAGACTATTTAAGAACTTATTTTCCTGCTTAGGACGTTTGTATTCTATTAATCACTATTTAAATGTTGAATTTCCTTCCCTTCGTAGTTAATAGCTTTGCTTCAAAAGTAAATGCAATGGCAGGCATGCGATCCCTCATTTGCGCAATCTTTTTTATTTTGCTGAAGCATTTCCACAATCTAAAATCTACAACGCACTTCCCCAAAACCATGGGCTAACAATTTAGTGAAAGGTTGAGGATAGGAAGCCCATTAGCCCGAAAGGAAAGAGATTCCCTTAACACCACTTCCCAGTTGGCACTCAAAGTGATAACGAGCACGTGTAGGAGTAGTAGGAATGTAGAAGCAAGCAATGTCCAATCTCCAACACCCAATAAAGTATAAATTTGTTTTTTTATGGATAATTTTATTTTGTTTGGTTAAATTTTTGCCGGGAGAGGACAAAAAGAAGGTTAAGGCAGGAGGCATGAGAAACCCGCTCAGAAATTTGGTATCAAATTTGAAACACTACTCCTTCAGCGCGCCTCCTCTTATTTCGTCCCCTCCAATCTCATTTCATTTCATTTCACGATTCCCTCTCTCTCTCTCTCTCTTCCAATCACAATCGCTTTGATTCCTTCTAATCTTCTCATCCACTGCTTAGGTTTTCACTTTCTTCGCAATTCGTTTTCCTCTCTCTCTCTCTCTCTCTCTCTCTCTCTCTCAAGTCTCAACCATGTCTTCAGAAACCCTAGAAGAGGAGAAACCTCAAGTGGGAGAACCCCTAGCTGAAGCCAACCTTAGCAAGCAAGAAAACGAAGCTGCAGAATCTGAAGAAGAAGATAATTCGGAGAAGAAAGACGTCGATGAGAAAAGCCAAGTGGAAGAGAAGAAGGAAGAAGAAGCAGATGATGAAGAGGACGAAGAGGAAGGGAGGAAGAAGCGTGTCAAAGTCAAGTCAAACAAGTCAACCAAAGAAAGCGATCCCGCTACGCCAGCAATTGAGAGACCAACTAGGGAGAGGAAAACGGTGGAGAGATACACTGTTTCTTCGCCTTCTAAGTTTCCGAGGTCTTCTTCAAGCAAAGCTTTGTCAATTGAAAAGGTGAGCATATATCTATATCTGTGTATTATCATTTCCCAGTTTTTCGAAATTCGTTGTTTTCTTTCTTCACAGTGACATTATTGGCTTTGATCGTGTGGATCTCCTTGGGTTTCAGGGCAATGGTACGCAGCTGAAGGACATCCCAAATGGTACAATTAAATATCGTTATTGTAGCTTTTGTACTAGTTGAAATCGTGTGATCTTGTTGATGGACTACTCAAGCATAAAGTTCATTGTAAAAATAGACCTATAAAATGTTGAAGTGATGTAGCGTGACTATGATTTGATATCATTATCTGAAGCTACAAAGTTTATAGCCAAACAAGATTTGGCATACTGTAAATGTAAGATTTGTAACAAAAAAGACCTAAGCAGCTTTGATTAAAGAACTGAAACACTAAGGGTGCACCCATTGTAACGTCATCAAAGTGGATTGCATAACTGCTGTCACTTTCATATCCTTCGTCAGATTTATACCCTTTAATATATTTATGTCTCATCCAACTCAACCTATATCGCATCAGTATCAAGATTCTAAAAATGAATTTGAAATGATGGATGCTAACTAAACCACTGCTAAGAGTCTAAAATGCCTGTCATGCATGGGCTATGGGTATATGCTTGTACCTAAGAAGTACATATAGTTCTACACTGTACTTAAACTGTATTATAATTGAGTCAAATATGTTTCCATATTGAACACTGACTGGATACTCCAAACACTTTTTTATGCATTTTTATATGTTTTTTACTTAATTTTTAAATACTGACATTAATTTGGATATTTCATTATGTCTATAAATGATTCATAATCATTTATTAAAATATAATATCTCTTGTGATTTAAAAATTTTCAATCTATGTTAATTTTAGGCTAAATTTATAGATTCAAATGTATTTGTGGTGTGTCTCATGATTGTTAAAATTTATCATGTTTCCCTATTTTGTATCATATTGTATTTGTATCTTGTATTGTATCCATGCTTCTCAGGCTTGGGCTCATTGAAATGTTGGAAGTAACAATTTTTACTAGGAATTCCCTTAAGAATGAGGGTTCATTCTCAATTGTATCTTACATTGCAGGTGCAGTTTTAGAAGTTAAATATCATGCCTTCTGAACTCTACAGAAGTTTGTAAAGTGTAAACATACTCCAACCCTCTAGGGATATTCTGCTTGTTGAAACTGGTTTTAAATTGAAAAATGGACTCTTAACATTATCTGCTTATTGAATTTGACCTCAACACGTCAGATGGTTATGAAAAATATTCCTCCTGAAAGGTGTAACATTCCATATTGTCAGAGAAATGTTTTTCAGCTGTTTGATATATTGCAAATTTTGGGTGTTATGTGGTGGCTTTTTTGTTGGCCATTTTTCTTTAACTCATGCATTCTAAATGTGCGAGCTGTGAAGTGATGAATGCAAATTGGTATTCTGTTATTCGATTCACTCCAATGGTGATTGAAATAAAGTTTGCACTTTTCCTAATTGATAGTGTTCACTTGCAAGTATGTTTCTCTAAAGCAGTGTTTCTAATGAAATTATTTACTTAATAAATTTTCTCAGTGGCTTTCAAGTTATCAAAGAGAAAAGCGGATGACAACCTGCGTATGCTTCATAATATACTGTTTGGGAAAAGGGGAAAGGTGACTGACCAACTTAGTTCTTTGGATGGTTTTGCATTGTTTTTGACAAGTTTCCATTTTTCCCCTGCTTTTATTATTGTTAATTAAGGGTGGATGGATGAGCACTCAAATATTGTGGTTGTTGCTTGAATGTTAGTGACATGCTTTCTTGTGTAGGCACACAATCTAAAGAGAAATATAGGGCTGTTTTCTGGCTTTGTGTGGGCTGAAAATGAGGTACAGTTGCATTATACACTGTAATATTGCTTGTCTTTTATTCTTAAATATGCAGATGAATGGGTTTTGTTTTAATGTCTTGTTTATTTATTTATTTTGGTTAGGTGTGCATGTTGTCTTTTGTTAAATATTTGAATGTCTGAAGCTGTAATTAACCTGCAAATAGTATGGTTCTATAATTCTTGGCAGGAAAAACAGAGGGCCAAGATAAGGGAGAGAATTGACAAATGTATCAAAGAAAAGTTGTTGGACTTCTGTGATGTGCTTAATATTCCAATAAACAAAACTGGTATGAAGAAGGTAAGTGTTGATCGTAATATTTTTCCATTCTCACATGGAATCAAAGAATGTCTATCCAAAAATCTGTTATTGATGTGACATTTCAGGAGGAACTGTCTGCGAAATTGTTGGAATTTTTGGAGTCCCCACATGCTACAACTGACATTCTGCTTTCTGAAAAGGAAAAGGTTTTATTTTATTTTATTTAATATGACTGTGTGAGGATAAGGGTTAATTAATATTGGTATAAGTTGTGACAAAATTTATCCCACTGTGACCGTTCTCATATATAGTACAACTTTTTCATATTTAACATGTCCATGCGTGATTGAAGATTTATTTTGTGCAATTTTCTGTATTTAACTTGCAAGCTTAGTATGACTTGTAATTCAACAATTGAATTAGTCAATTTTCAGATGTACATTTTTGTAGATTTAATTAATCATGTATGGCTGATATTAGTGTCATTGAGTTCTTACCTGTTGAATAAATATGCTATTTAAATTTGTGATAGAATTTTATGTTAGTGTTAGTTTTTTGAAGCTTGCTTCTATGTCACAGAAAGGTAAAAAGCGAACCCGAAAGGAAAGGCTTAGCAAATCTTCTGGTGAAGGATCTGAAACTCCTGCCAAGGTGTGTTGTCATACTATACATGAAATTCATTTTGGTTTGCCTCACAATAGTTATGTGCTAGACTATGTTGGGCATTCTCTTGCTTGCATCAAAATGTGACTGAGTATTTGATTCTTGTAGAATGTGCTTCAGTATTTGTAATCATCCGCTATATGTATATCAGTGATGATCTCTTTATCTTTAATTAGGATTGAATGTGACTGTTTTCAGTTATGTTTGTCTGATCCTACCCCTATGAGTGGGATTTGAATTTACTTTCCATTTATATGGACTTATGTGGATGAGCTTCAAATAGAACGTTGTATCATAAAGTATGTTTTTGTCTGATGTTGGCATAGTAACAGGTTTACTGTTGATGGTAGTTTGGTTCTGAAGTTCTGTAATTGAGCCTGAAAATATTCCAGCTGTTTTTTTTTTTTTTTTTTGCACTAATTCAGCCAATCACCTGAGTTGTCCTTTGATGTTTGCACCTGAAGAAGTTTCTTGAAACTGTGAACAAACTTGAAGTTAAAAATTATTGGTTAAATATATTAATTGAATCCCTGACTTCTAAGATACCGTTTGATATTCCTAGCAAATAAAATGAAGTTCCTTTTGATTTGTAAAGCAGTTGAAAGTTTGTTCTGTGAATATCTTGGGCAGTTATGATGCTTGTGGTTATAGGTTAAATTTTATAGCAGGATTTTTCAGTTCCTGTTGCTAGAATTCTGCATGTAGTGGATTAAGCTCTAGGCAATTGCCGTTTTGATTGTTGGTAATTGCTTCTGAACTCTCCATATAGTTTTCGGGATTGTTTTGCATTTAGGTGAACAAAACATGATATCTTGATTTTCAAGTTTCTGTATTCTATGAAGCCCTTACAGAAATTTTCATGATATTTAAATTCTATCGCTGGGGTGACTTCAATTAGAAACATGTCTACTATAGTGGATATTACTTACTGTTTATTGTGGCTTCTATAAATTTCATGGTTCGGTTTTGTCTGACCTTTGTTTCCTATTTCGGATGTAAATTATCTCATTCTGCAAGGGCATTAAATATGGATTGCTTTTCAATTATTTTTCTTTTGTTTTGATTGCTCTTATATATTTTATATGGGTTTAGATGCAAAAGCAAACTTCACAAGTTGGGAAAAAGCGAAACCAGTCTTCTGACACTGAGGAAGATGATGCAGCTGAACCTTCGGATGTTAAAGATGATTCTCAGGAAGATGATGTCTCAATACCAAAAAGTGACAGTGATCATGAGGAAAGCGAATCCGAGAAAGAGGATGATAAAGAAAAGGCTCGCAAACGTACTTCAAAAAAGACTCTGAAGGATGAGCGAAGTCCACCTCTAAAGAAGACCACCGCTGTAAAGACTGCCAAGAGCAGTGAAAAAACTCCTAAAAAATCTACTTCAAAAAAAGCTTTTACTGTCAGTACATCTAAGTCCAAGCAACCTGTGTCCAAGAAACAGGAAACCGTAAAGGAAAGCCAGGACTCTAAAGGGAAGGTTGCAAACAAAAAACGAACTGAAAAGTCTTCAGCAAAGGATCAAGGTGAGATACACTAACACAAATATTTCTAGCATTGAAAAGAAAACGATAATGTATCAAGTATCCTTAAGATTGTTGATTAAGAATTAAAAATTGGAAGTTTTATGGAAGTGTTACCATTGTATTTTACGATAATTATAATACATTATTATCTTAATTTTTAATTAAATTTTTTTATCTATTAAATTTTAACCAATATTTTTAATAAAATCCAAAATATAAAATTCCTGTGGGAGGAATTAATACATGTAACATTAAAAAAATATGCGGGTGCAATTGCCCCCAAAACCTACACTGAATCTCCGTCAATGTGTACTACTTAATCTAATGCCAGTTGTCATTGTTTGTTTGTGCTCGTAAGTTATTTTTTTGGAACATGATCAATTTTGCTAGAGTTGGAAAACATGCCCTCTACATATTACCGTGTTACATTTGAACAATTTACATAAAATCTTAATTATATAGGATTCAATTCTGTTAAGTATGTCTGTTTTGCCTTGTTTTTTCATGCTTACCCATTCCATTCTGATGCCAATGGCAGGCAAAGGAAAAAGTAGTAAGAAGGCCAAGACAGAACCTACGAGGGAGGAGATGCATACTGTGGTTGTGGATATTTTGAAGGAAGTTGATTTCAATACTGTAAGTAATGTTTTTCTGTCAGATTTTGATTGAATATCATACTTTTTTTAATCATTTTTGTATGTTCCTTGATGTAGGCAACTTTATCTGATATTCTCAGGCAACTTGGTAAGACCATTTCCAATAACTAAATTCTCTCCCCCTTCCCAAAAGGAGAAGGGAAATGATTTCTTGAACTCAGCTCATTTATGATGAAATGTTGGCAGGTACCCACTTTGGCTTGGATTTAATGTATAGAAAAGCAGAGGTGAAGGATATAATTACAGATGTAATTAATAGCATGTCTGATGAAGATGGAGACGAAGCGGAGGATGGTGAGGATGACGATGCAGATAAAGATAATGCGTAACTGTAGATTTGTTGGGTAAATAATCATAGACCCGTGCAGAAATTAGATGCAAGTGGTTCATTCTACAGCAAGATTTCCCCACCATAAATCTCGTGACAACTGTCTCTTCGGATTACAGGCTTTCAGTGGAGGATATTTTGGTTAATTGGTTTGAGTTCTGACTCTTCCTAGATAGGTTTTCTCAACTAGGTTGTACTTTGTATCCTATTAGACTAGATTTAGCCCTTCTCTGTATTTCTGATGTGACCTTAATTTTACCGTATATTGAATAGGTTGTTTATTCACCTGCCTGTAAACGAAATTGGCTTTTAAGTTAGATCAACATGTGATTTTTGAGTTCGAACTAGATTGTGATTTTTCCTAGTTTATTGCTGATATGCATCCGCCCCCAATTATTACGAAATTACTGTTTTTTGTGCATTTTTATAGTGCCAATTCTGCTTCTAGCTTCTCATTTCAAGGGTGATCCTCGTGTAAACTATGTACATCAACTTAAAGTACTAAAATCAATTATTCCTTATGAACAAGAATTTCGTAGTTATATTCCGGAGTTTTAATTTATGCCCTTGGCTCTGATATTCCATACAAGATCTAGTTAGGGAAGACAATGTGTTCATACTCATTTTGCAAAATTATCAATAATGGATTGGATAAATATTTGCTTAACAAAGTTGAGTTTGAGTATGAATGTGTTCTAAACCTTAAATACTTGCAAAATATTCATACATGTATTATCCGATTCTATTTTATATATTTTTCTAAGTTAATGGTTATAATTTTTGTTATTTTAAAAATATTTATATTTTTTAATAAACTATTAATTTTTATTATTTATTATATATATAATATAAAATTAATTATAATAATTATTTCACATATAAAAAATATAAAATATTGTATTAATTAAAGCATTTTATAAATTATAAAATTTTAGTTGGGAACTGCAATTAGAAGTGGAGGCAACAATTATAAAAGTTTTAATGATCACAAATGTTTGGAATTTTGATTTAGATTTTGATAATTGCACATGCTCAACGCCATTTAACGCCATTTTAATATTTAAAACAAACGACATTATAATGTTGGTACTAAGTACTCCATTCCAATGGCAATTATTTCTGACTGCCAGTTAAACACGTCATTTCAAATCAATTTGCTAGCTGTCAACATAAAGCTCGGCTTCCCGTGTATTTAGATATTTATAAACTTGAGACTAAATAAAATTACTTTTATTTTAAAAAAATTAATTGCTATAATTTATGCTTTAATTTTTTTAAATTGTAATCAATAAATTTTCGAACATCAATCAAAATACAAGTTTATTATATCTATTTAAATACGAGTTTAAAATTATATATATATATATATATATATATGTATTATTTACTTACTAAATATATTAGAACAACAATCAAAATATATTTACATTTTGAAAATATAAACACATTTTCAAACATCTACTTCCTCTACCTTATTCTCTAACATCAATCTTGATGTTTTTGCTTTCTTTTATTTTCTTGGGACTAACATTGTGTTTATCAAATGAGTTAAAGAGTGCATTAATAATATTTTAATAAAATTATGATCATTTTAACATATTTAATTAATGTCATAAAGATATTAACAAATATTTTCTAAGAAATAAATTATTTTTTTTTACTCTTTATACTTTTAAATTCTCTTAATTATAATAAAATAAATATTTTTAATTTTTAAAATAATAAATATATACTTTTTATTTAATGTTTATTATATAAAATAAAAATGTTAAAAACGAAAAGACAAGATTAATACTTTACTCTTTTAATTTTTTTTTATTTCATTTTTTAAATTTATTTAATTTAATTTTTTGTTTCATTTTAATATTATTTTCAAATATCAATCAAACAGGTCATGTATGGTTTAATTATGTTTAACTTCTTCAATCTAATAAAAGGACAAAGAAAAGAAAGATGACAGTAGTGAAGAAAATTAAGAATAATTACAAGTCTATTACATAGTTTGCATCGAGGATACTTTTGAGTAAAAACTAACAGTGCAGTTTTTTACATAAAAATTATGTTAATATATTTATACAACATTTTATGTTATTTTTAAAATTTTTATCATATCATATATTTATACATTTTTCTCTCTTTTTTTCCACTTCATATACTAAAAAAATAATTCCAACATTCCATTTTTTTACGACACCCTCAGCTAATGCGAAAGTATGCAAACTCGCAGACGAGGTTAATTTATTAATTACAGTGCCTTTTATGTTTCAAATTTTTGGAGACTAAATCAGAATCATTATAATTGCCTTAAAGGTATGCTATGTTATACTGGAAACTAGTAAATGTCAAGTAAATCATGTGCAAGTAGCAGATGTCAATGAGCAAGAAACAATTATTCAAACTTCGATTTGGTGGCTACTGCTATTAAATAGATTATTGAAATTATAAAATTGTTGGTGATGGACTTCAATTTAATTCCCACCTGACATAGACATTGGTATACTACTTTAAGGCTCTATGTGGTTCTAATCCGTTGAGGTCCAATAATTTAAGGCTGCAGTTGTTTTTTGAGTTATGTGACACATAAATAAATTTAAAAAATTAAGATTTTGTTATTCTTGATCTTTAGAATTGTGTTTAAATATACATAAATAAAAAAATATATAATAATTATATTAAAGTTATAAAAATATAATAAATATTTTTTAATAAAATTTACTATTATTAATTACTTATTTTCAGCACTAAAAACTGACATTAACAAAATTTAAAAAATTATTAGGTTTTATATTTTTAAGTTAATAAATATATTTATTTTTTTCATAAAAAATAAAATAAAATTTATTGGTTGAAAAAAGAAAAAAAAATGATTCCGTTGTATTCCTAGTTTTAAACAAAATGGAAAATAGGGATTTCAAGAATCAAACATACAGTCGTCATTTTATCAACCAGAATCAGCATCGCCAATTTAAACCTACCGCGGCTAAGTAACAAACATTTCACACAATCTCACATAAACCTTAGTTTGGATTTCTAGCCATTCTGACATGGCCCAAACGTCATATAATTCAGTCATAATGTTGCATTTTGACAATAAAATTGCACATCTACTCCTAACGAAAATACTAACAAGTATATAAAATAACAAAACTAAAAAATGTTCTATATACAAAGAAGGAATTTTCATAACTTGAATATACATTCTACCATATTCAACTTTAACTTGAGCAACTTCCTCTAATAGAATACTTTTTGCTGAAACATCTACCATTATAGCTTATTCATGATCAAATATTAGTGCCAACCATCACTTGAGATAACTTATGTTATAGAAACCTGTCTCAATTGTCTTATATACACTAGGGGTAGATAGATCAAACTCTAACTATATAACTCACTGCAACTTAGATTTCTCTTTAGTTGATTAGCTATTTTATCATTGTTTTTTTTCCTCGTACATTGAATAAAAATCAATATTTTTAAGAATATTAGTTAAAATTAAAATATTTTGATTTAAATATATTATTAATTCTTCTAAATATAGGTCGTTTTATAAAAAAAATTTATAAATTTTTTTTTTGGAATGTAGTTATTAAAAAGTTAAAAATTTAAAATTTAGTCAATGATATTTACCTTATCTCTATTAAGTGCTAAGTTGACTAATCGTTAATTAATTCAGCATTTCACATAGTATCACGTAGCCTAATCACAGCTTATATACTATGTCACGTCATTTATTATTTATTATTATTTAAAATTAAAATTTACAAATAATTCTATGAACTTATTTAATATAATTATATAAAGCCCTTTTTCTTCCATTTCTCCGCACATTTCCAGCATCTCTCCTCTACTCCTATCACTTCCCTTTCCCCCACCTCTACTCCCTCCTCACACTACCATTCCTCCCCTTCATTTCACACCTCCTTCCTCTTCCCCACCCTTCCATCCACACCACCCCTCTCCTCCACCCACTTTCATTCTCCTAATTCGCACTACTCCCCTCTTTCACTCCTTACTTCCTTATCGCACTACCCTCTCTTTTCATTCCTTTCCTTTTCCAAATCACTTCCCCCTCCAATATCCACATTCTCACCCCAATTCGCAGCACTCTCCATCTCTTCCTATTCTCCTATCCGCACCACCCTTTACTCTTTGCCACAATCCTCTCCCTCCAATACTTCCTTTTCTCCACACTCATCTCCCTCCAACGCCCCCATCTAAACCACCCCTCTACCCGCCCACTTCCATTCCTCCATCTACACCACTCTCTTTTACTACCCTTTCTCATTCCTTCGCACCACTCCCTTCCTTTTTTCCACGTCCCACCCACCTTTGCACTACCCATTTTCCCAACTCCTTCCCCATACCCTTCTCCCTTCAACCTCCACTCATATTTGCGCCACCCCTTTTTTCACATCCCTTTCTCTCTAACACTTACACTCATATCACCATCTGCATCACCTCTCTCTCCTACCCCTTTCCATTCTTCCATCTCCACCACTCTATCTCCTTTCTCTCCCTTTCTCATTTTTAACGGCACCACCCATTCATCCTCCTGAAAACAAAATGTTGAAACCAATAAAAAAAATAAGAAAAATAATAAATAATAAATAACATGATATGCCACATAAACTGTGAGTGTGCCACGTGGAGTGCTGAGCTGACTCTCCGTTAGCCAGCTCAGCACTTAACAGAGAAGTAACAGCAAGACTAAATTTTAAATTTTTAACTTTACAAGAACTGAATACTAACAAAAAATTTTATAAGGACTTAGTACAAAACAACCTACATTTATAGGAACCAATAACATATTTGAGCCAAATATTTTTTATATTATTTTTTAGAATATTAGTAATTTTATATATATATATATGTTCACATTTCTTTTAACACAAGGATCTTTTTTTATTCTCTTTTACAAGGTCCAATTCCAATGTTGTTCACTCGGACTAGTTGTGACCAAGGCTACCTTCATAGGTGATATTTAATCCACAAAGCTAAATAAGATAAGAAAAACAAAAAAAAAGAAGAATAAGAAGCAAAGACAATATAAGAAAAAAAAGTTATTTGGAGTAAACAATCTGATTTAGATGAGAAAATGGTCATGTGTAGAGTATATGAATTTGTTTATTTTTTTATCTTATGATTTAATTTATAATTTTGTAAAAAATATGATGTGTTACGTATGTTATATTTATATGTTGACATATTATAATATTGTTTATGATAGTTTGGAAACTTTTTTCTTAAGTTAAATTTTCTTTGGTTTGTTTTTTTTATAAAAAATAATTATATAATTTTTAAAATTGTGTAGAAATGATAAAATTAATTTTAAATATTGGAAATTAAGAAACAATAAAAAAAAGCAGACTTATATATTTGTTTATAAAAAAAATACTT